TAAAATTCCCGCGTGTTACCATTACACACCCAATGTCCTTCCGACGATCGCCCCTGCGGGAAAGTAATATCTCGATCTACTGTGGAGGCAGTGCAGTAGTCGCTCGGCAGGGGGGGAGGGGTCTCGGCTGGCCTCGGCCTCGTTGTTGTCGCGCGCCCACGACGGGGTCTCTTGGACCCGCAGCGCGGGGCGGGAATCGGGCGTTGCCGCCGCCGTCGCCGCACGTCGTCTTAGTCGTCGTTGCGCGTGGCTCCCGCGAGGTCGCAGACCCAAAGTTGACAGGCTCTCTCGTGGCTGCGCAGGCGTGAACATACGGGCTGTGCCTGTTCGCTCGGTGTTGTGCGCGGATGCAAATGCCGGCTTGCATGCCCGCCCACCTTGCCAGCCTCCCCGCCCGTCTTCCCACCACCCCCTGCCACACCCCCCCCCCACCCCACATCCGTCCACCACATGAAAGGGTCAATAAAATGGGGTTTGCAGCAGCTCGCCCGTTTCTGCATTCGCTCGCTCACGCAGAACTGCAGCATGGGTGTGGCTCTGAATTTTCAGGGTATCCGGTTACCGCGTAGCCTTGGGCACATTGCAGCAATGCCTTTTCTTTCACAGGGTGTTCTGATTGTTTACTTTCATGATAAAATCCATCCGTCGATTTTGGGTTTCGTGTTCAGCCGTCCGTGCGGCTCGGGCCCGACCCGTCGCTCCGATTGACTCGTCGAGACGAGCGACGGGTGTTTCGATCCCCGGTGGGTTTTGGCCCCGTTTAGACAGCCCCAGTGGTTGAGCACGTGTTGCCGCCACCCGTCGCCGCTGTTGCTGCATTGGCAGCTCAGCACTGTATAGGTAAACACGGAGTGCGGATTATTCGCCGGCTGGACACGCCTTCCGAGAGACGGGCCGTAGAGAAGCGGCTTACATAATGCGCCGTCGCCTGCAAGGTCATCGTAAAAACGTCGGCGCACGCCAGCGCACGTTGCGTAATGAGCGCGTCGAGCCTCTGTTTCGCTTTAGAGACGAGCAGCAAGGGCCCCTTCTCCACCGCCGTCTTTGGAGCGGGCATCGAAACAACGCCAATGTCGGTTTTTCTAAAGCCAGCGAAGGAGAGTTCTTCGAGAAAACGAATAATTGACTCGTCGGGTTGTAATTGCAATTTACTGCGGTGTGTTTTTAAATCCCATCCAGGGCTAGGTCAAATCACATTACACCCCGAGTTGTTTTTTTTTTTTACAAAATAAAATAACTATGCGCATTCGACTGACATAGATGTGAGACAATAACCATCAAAATGCGGTGGACTATGCCAGCCATGGAGGTTGTTTGACCATGCTTCTCCACGCTGGTCAAATGCGGGAATCGAACTCGGGCCATTGGGCTTTATAACACGCCGCGCTAACCCATGTTGCCACAACCGCATCCCAATTAAGACCATTACAAAAAGTCAAACAAATGGAACTGATCAGCTTTTAAAGCGTTACAGTCACAATGACCAAGCAGTGAGTCCAGGTGCCCACTGAGACTTGGAAGCACTGTCATAACCTTCACACAATCGGAGAGTTGTAGGGCTCTCTTGCATTTGCGAGGGGTGAAGGCGGGTGGGCGATAAGCACCAATTCCCAAGTTTGTATTTACCCGAGACGCGAGTCAAGAACCTCGGAACATATCCTATACAGTGCGTGGATTTACTTGTGAATTGAAACAAACCTATACCGCCCACCGCACAACAACAACAACAACACCCACGGAGCGGCGGTGAGCCCCTTCCTGCTTGCTCTATTGTGACCAAGAACACCTTTGTGTGTTGATGAATGTGAAACGTTTTTCCAGCCTGCTCACGTGTTGTTGTTGGTGGTGGACTTTCTCGTCATTTTACACAACACTGTTGGATTTGAATAACCACGAACGCACACCCTCCCTTCGCCCCTTCCCACTCCACCTCTTCGTTTTTTACACGATAAAAAATTTAAGGAAATAACTTTGTACGTTAATGAACCACGGACAATAGACAGAAACTGCAAGCACACAACGAACGATATGTACGTTTATTGGTTATTGCCTGTATGATTTATGAGCAAGTTTCACGTATTTAAAACAAAAGTTAATAAACTGTTTAAGGATGGAGCGGTGGCACAGTGGTTAGCGCATCGCACTGTGAACTCATCAACTCGAATTTCGTTTCCCGGCCAAGGCTGAAATTTGTTCAGAGTGATATCTGTACCGGTCCTGGGGGGGGCCCTCCTTCACCAACCTGCAGTGTCAGGTATGGTAAAGCATGGTCAAACAAGCCTCGTGATCAACGCAGTGTGGGAAAACTTTCGTCCAGCAGCGCATTGGCAAACGGCTATGATTTATAAACAGGCTCGGTGGTAATTTCTCAGTCAACGGTTCAAAAGCAACCACACACACCTCCGATTATTAGCACGGTTGGCTACGTACGGTGCGAAAAGAAGTTCTACACACGTGCATGTAACCCGCCCTGGCCAGCATGGCGACGAAATCTGGCGACCAAGTGTAACGCCACTAGAATCGGACACGACGCCCTGAAAGATAGCGCGCACACCCACACCCGCGCACACCTATGCGTACGCGTGCGTGCGATCGCGGCCCTTTGCGGACGCACTTTGCCACCCGAGCCAGCTCCACACTGCCGAGTTCCCTTTGAAACGTGAACCGCAAAAGGCAGGTCACAAGAGCGCTCGCTCGTGGAAAACTGGAGTCCGGAGCGACCGTCGTGCGATGTGACGTTGTTTCCATGGGGATCTCCGTCATCGTGGGGTAGTGGACGGCGATCCGCTCTTTCTGAGATGGTTGGAAAGTCGATTTTTTTTATGCACCCAGAAATCTGCTGCAGTGCAGCGATGAACTGTTTGGAATTTTCCACAATGCCTTTCCAGTAGAAATGACATGATGCATCTTCAACGGAGGGGTTTATGACCGGCTGGGAGTGGTGGAGCCAGCTGCCTCTGGCTTGCCCGGCTGCCAGAATCCACACTTGGCCTTCTTATTGAAGCTGCGAGTGGAAAATTGTAATCATGTGTGAACACGTTTGCTCACGGTTTTTGTACTTTTTTGTTAATCGTCCACATTTCCTACCTAATTGCGTGTGCGCGTGCACGTGTGTGTTCGTACTAAATCGCGCTTGAGTTAATTTCGAGGCTGTGTGCTTACATAAACATCCGCGAGACCTGCCGCATGGTAATGCAGGTGGAGGTGGAATTATGCAGGAACCGTAAATAATTTAACAAACTCGCATCAATTACTTGAACAATTTTTGTAATTAGACTGGTGGAAAAAAACCCCTACTGTTTACCTCAATTAAAATGCTCCTCAGGAACTGTTAAAAGTATAACATCACTAATTTGAAACTGCTCTCAAGGAGGTCAAAGCGATGCAGTAATTATATTTTACGATTTCACAAAAGGGTCTTCCACGTGACAATATTGCAGGCCCCTGTTTCTCAAACGCAACAAAGCATTTTTTGTTACTTGAAGTCCAACCCGTGTGACCCTTTTCACATGTTTATGAATCTGAAAATTACGTGATATCTCTCCTGCGGAGTGCAGTCGTGTTTACTTTGATTGCTTTGAGATCTTTATATATGTAGAAGTATAATTATTTTTAAAAGAAAAAAATTGTACAGCATTGGGGAAATATCCCAAATCTTTTGCTATTTTATTGTTATTATGATGATAAATTCCCAAACCTGGTCCGAGTAAAAAAAAATGGTTTGGGTGCTTATAGCAAGCTGTCAGTCGTTATACATTTACAGTTTTATTCACCGTTGTAATGTGATTTAACAATACTATTTTGGGCTTTAAAAAATAGTTTTTAATGTATATACTGTCACTGCTTTAACTGCGAGAGCCCTCTGCCTTTGGCACAAGGATCCTTGTTAAGGTTCATTTCACAAAGATTCTGTACGTCATGCCATTGTCTCAAGGTAATTTGAGATCATCCACAATGGATGAAACGTGTCACTTGTTCAGTGGCATCTGAGTGATGGATGTTGAATTTATTGCGTGCCGTACGTATCCAGTCGGAAGTGCGGGGAAGGACAAATTATGTTTCCATTGTGCCATCTGTCTGTCTTCAAAGTAACGGATCCATGGCATGTAGTGTTGCATCGTTTCATCCGTTAAAATCTCATGTCTTGTTCATGATACATGTATGCACGTTTAAGAACCAGTTTATCATTTGTGCAATTTACGGGACTACGTAGTAGGCAGCAGAGGGCAGTGCAGAACATTCCATTGTTGTACTGCACTTCCATGCTTCCACATCTCTGCTCTCCACCTTCACCCCCCCGTTCACTAGCGTGGTGAGGTTCAAATAGGCCACTTGGCCAGTACGGCATGGGAGAGCCCTCATCCAGTAGTGGATTGACAAAATATCTGTACGTGCACATGTGTGCATACACAGTCAAATGCTTTAGCGACTGTCTCAGTGCCCGTTGTCATGTCGGGTCCATTTTTATTTGTGACAGTTGTTGAGCTAAGACGCAAAGGGAAAAGCCTCTAGCGGCCAGCAACAAACAACAAGATCAATGTGTATATATATAATGTATATGAGTTGAAACGCTTCTTGAAGTGATCAAAGTTATAAGAGCTTGGGGAAAGTAGCTATGGGAGGGAATTCCAGATTTGGAGCAGTGCAAGGGCAGAATCCGACAGAGAAGTGTTTGTGACCTGCAGTGCGGTGATCAAACACGTTTGTGGGTGAGCCGAAACGGTCAGTCTCAAAGACGAAACCCTCAACATCGGCGGAGGAATCGATTGGTGAATTTCACGGGGAAGAGTAACCACGGTTTTAGCGATAGACGAGTGATGAGGAGACGACAGGCCACCTATGAGCGAGTGACTGGAGTGAATTATCGAGTTCCGTCTCATCAATTAAACCGGACTGCTTTCACTCAGAATATCAGTTCAGAAAAGTTCGTGGGAAGTGAAAGCGGTTATTTTACCGTTGGCGTCGTCGCTGTTACCCCGCCCCGCCAATCCCCCCCGCAGGATCGCTGCACTCGCGAGAACTGCAAGTACCTGCACCCACCGGCACACCTCAAGACGCAGCTCGAGATCAACGGACGCAACAACCTGATCCAGCAGAAGAATGCTGCCATGCTGGCGCACCAGATGCAGTTTGCGGCTGTGGCCGGGGTGCTGCCCGGCTCGCAGCTCCCGCCCGTGGTGAGTCCTCGGCGAATGGAACACCGCCGTGCAGTACATCGCCGCGTTTCATTAGTCGGTTTCGGCTCTCGCCAGAACGCCCCTCCCATCCTTCATACAACTCCCTTACGTGCCACAGCGACAACTCCGTACAGGCTACAGCAGCATTCCCCATTGGGCCACAGCAACAATTCCTTCCATATGGGCCACCGCAGCAATTCCCTACAGGCCATAGCAGCAATTCCCTATGCACCTCAGGAAGAGTTCCCAACGGGTCACAGGACGCGTGCAGGGAATTGCTTATATCAGAAATATGATGAGTCATGCAGTCCTAACATCCCTAAATAGAACCACAGAGCTTTGGCAAATGTTGGTGCCGGTTCTGGCAGCCTTTCCGCTTGTGTGGTTCCCGCGGTGGAGCGTAGCTTAATCGATCTCGTGCGTGTCCTAGTGATGCTTATTATGGGTAAATAGACGCAGTTTCGACGGGGAGGAAGATTAGCTCTGGCTGGGTTAGAATGCCAAGCGGGGTGGTTTTACGTGCGAAAGACGGAGAGGAATTATCTGCGAGTGCCGGTGTCCGCGTAGTTGAGGATGGTATTCCTGGTGGGCGACTACTCCCCCACTCCTCCCTCCAGCAGCAGAGATAAAACACAATATCACGTGTAGAGCTGACCTTGCCACGTGACGTATCATGTGACCTCGCCTCTGCCGCCCCCGCCACTTTTTCAGTGTGGTTTATCACGCGCAGGGCACAGCTTAGACTCAACGCCAGAGGTCACATTTACGTAAGTTTCTAGTTTCTGTTAAAGTCCCATTGAATGTTCATCATTGTGTGTTACCTAGTACAGAATTAGTGTTGTGACTATTAAATGGAATTGAGTTGATTTTATATAGAACATGTATTCTTTGTGTGTCAAGTGTCGCCCCCTAGTGTGGCATTCCTCGGCTACAGCATCCCGTTGCTTGTCCATGCTGCTGTTAGCATAAGTAATATACGCACGTTAAGCTAAAACTGTAGGCTTAATACAATCATGCATTCTCTTTGAACAGAATATTATTGCGCAAAGTATGCCATTAGGTTTGGAACAGATAGGGGAAGGGGGGAGCAGGGGGAATTATATTAATTCACTGTTTTATTTTATTAGTGAACAATATGCATGAATAATACGTACGTTGTTCTGTTATAATAAGTCGATTGACTCCTACCCCCTGTCCATAGGGGTTTCCAGTGGGGGGGGGGGGGGGGGGGGGGGGGGGCTGGAGGGGCTTAGGATTGAGTCTCTTGTCCACCCCTCCCAGTCTGCCAAGTTTGGAGGAAAATAACAATCCCCTCTACTCCCTCAGCAGTGGCACCATCTATACAGCACTGGTGGGGAGGACTGTGGGAGGCCTGCGACAAAACTGTGGAACCTCTCTGCCCGTAACCCTGCGCTAGCGGTAGGGAGCGGGGGGGAGGGGTGTAACGACGGGAGAGGAAAAAGTGTGTGCCTCTCTTGTGTGTCTGACGTGGCGAGTGGTGGCGCAGCGGTTCGCGAGCTACGCTCGAGAACCTTCGGCCCGCGTTCGATTCCCAGTCACGGTGAGATCCGGCGGTGGTTACCTGTACCAGGCCTGGGTCGCTCCCGTGGGTTTGACTGAACGCTTACAATGACCACCTGGTGCGGTGTGTAAACATCAGCACTGGGGAGACAAAGGTGGCAGGGTGGGGTGCCGGCCGCGCAACCTCCTCCCGTGCGTGCATCTTCGTCATGCTCGTAATCATGTAATATTTATGCTGTGCCTCTCATGCAGTACACCGCGGCCTTCAGAGGCACTTGTTAACAGCACTTGAAAGAGCGTTTTAGCTCAATCAATGGGCTCTACAGGGGTAATCAAATAATTAAAGATAAACATCATGAGAATAAGAAGCACTTGCCTCAACAGCTCGTGTAGGCTACGCGGAGGGGGGGGAGGGGGGAGATGCTTGTCTTTGCGTACGTGGGCGTGGGAGGGGAAACGCCGATGCCTTGCAAAAGTTTGGAAAGCGACAGCGGCTCGCGACGGTGCGCGCGGAGAGCCACACGTCAGCGCGCCCGCCTGTCAACAGGGAAGGAGGGGGGGGGGATGCCCGTGACCCTACAGCCGTGGCTAATTGGCCTGGATCCCTGCACCCCAGACACAGCCTCAGTTGGGTGGCAGTGTTGTGGGTGGCACGGCCGCTGGTGGTGGGGTGGCGGCGGCGGCCTTGCGGCACGTGGTTGGGGAGGCCCTCATCCTCTTTAACAGAGCGGAGGAGACCTGGGCGAGTCTCGCACGTCCCCCTTCCCACCATAACGGGGGACCTGAGGAGAAAACAAATTTACTTGCCGCTTTGTAATTTTTTTTTCTAAAATTGCAAAGATAAAATGATAAAAATCCTCCTGTCTTAATGCAGGAACTGTCAATGTTTAATGCTGCCTGTAACAGGTCACACACACTTAGCCCAAACTTTTTGATGGCGTACGCTCGCGGGCGCTCGTTGAAATTGCAAAAGTTATGGATAGCTTCTGAATGGGCGCCTTCGTTAATACAGGAGAACCCCTCTTACCGACGGTAATTGGTTCCACGAAACTGGCCGTTAAGTGATTTGGTCATCAAGCGACTATAGGAAATACACGTTAAAGGCTCTATTTGTTCCGATAGCATTCAAAGTTACCCTTTTTCACCAAAAAAACATACTTTATACTATTTAAACAATGGATATGAATACATAAAGATACTAACAACATTATAAACACAATATTTAAAGGAAATGGTTAATACATTCATTAAATTCTATTTACTGTACCTACAACAGCCTGTCGTTAACAGGGGAATGGTTGGAAAGTGAACACATTGGGCTCTATGGAGGCCCATCCTTAAGCGATTATGCGTTAAGAGGGGTTCTCCTGTAAGTGCTTCATGCTCACTTGTGTGTGTGGCTGTTTTTACTCGCAGAACCTTGAATCATCGGGCGGTAGCGGTGTGGGGACAGGGGGTTGGGGAGAGTGGGGGGGCGGCCAGGTGGCAGTGGGAGTTTAGGGGATCAGGTTATTCTTACAGAACTCACCAGCATTTCATAGTTCATCATAGTTCATTAGAACACCATTCCAGTGCCCAGAACTCATCTTGTGCATTCTTATTGTTTGCATATGTATTAAGTGAACATTCACATCTAGTCATAGGGGCTCTGTTTTTTTTAAACAACATTTTTTTGTATTTTGTCAGGTGAGGTCCACTGAGCTTTCTAGGTGTTTTTCAGAAACGACCTGGCCACAAATGATAGCTCAACGAAGTGGTTTATCACGTGTGAATTTATAGCAGCCAAATACTCTGAAACGCACGTTGAATCTAAATGTGGAGGGAAAAAACCGGAGGACCCGCAGTAAGATCCACGGGGAGAGAGAGAGAGAGAAATGTTACGGTCGGGATCGAACCCACGACCTCCTGCATAGCAGGCGAGGTAGGTTACCATCTTCGAGCCACTGTGGCTCCCCTTCTGCCCCTGCCCCAGCTAGCGGTGTAGGGGGTTTCGGGGGCCGTGTTTGCACGAGGCTCTCAATAACGCAACCCCCCTCCACTTAGCTGTGCTCAAAGAATTGCGTTCGATTCCAGCGGCACCTTTGCTGTTGCAGCACCATCTGCTCGAGTTGAGGTTGAACTTCTCTTGAGACCCGTTGCTCTAGAGGTGCTCTGTGGATGATAATGCATTTACTGTGTAATACGCAATGTAGTTTAGGGCCTTTTTATCAGTTATCACTGCTTAATGAAGGCCTCCTCCGCACGTTCTAATCATGGGGGTTGCTTGACCATACTTCACCATGCTGGACAATGCGAGTTGGTGAAAGGAAGTGTCCATGACTAGTTCAGGTCTTACTTAACATCGGTGTTAGCCGTGGCCAGGGATCAAACTCAGGTGGCCGGGTCCGTAACGCAGTTCACTAACCCACCACGCGCCACCGTTTTTGCATGGCCAGTGCGAATGTGCAGCCAATGTAACAATTTTTAGAAGACAAATTTGTTTTTGCCCTGAAATCGTTCTCTCACCAAAATGAAATAACTGTCCACTGACCCATGAGCCTTCGAGAGGGTTGTTTCCCAGTAGCGTGCATTGATTTAAGCAAGGAAACCGCTGGACTGGTTTGACTTTCTCTTTATTGAATCTTCTTGCTTGAGTAAATATAAATATGATTTTGTTTTTTCACTTAATTTGGTTTCGTGGCTACTCTAACAACTTAAAGCAACCATTACGACTGCCATGCGGTGGACACCTCTGTGAGCAGCGTGTGTCCGCGGATGTGTGCCCTCTATTGCGCGGACAAAAGGGATCACGTGAACGGATTTTAAAAGACGTTTTGCGATATCTGCTTCCGCGGGCTGTTCTTTAACACGGGGCAATGCAGTCTTCTGAGCGTTCCAAACACACGTTCCATCCCCTAAATCTGAGAGCACAATTAAAATAAATGGCGCAAACGATGTGCGCGTACCCCCAACGGGTAAGCACGTGTTCGTGCATGTTTGTGCATGCATGTAGTATGAGCATGCTTACGTGTGTGCGTGCGTTTGCAGGGAGCATTTCCGCAGCTGTTCAGCGCATTGTGCTGCCAACCCGGCCACCCGAGTTTTATTCCCGTTCACGGCCAACACCAGTGATGGCGATTATCTGAACCCGGTCCTGGACCTCCCCTATGTCGACTCGGCCTCAAATTAGTACCTGGTGCGGTGCGTAAACATCGCCACAGGGTAGACAAAGGCAGCCGGGCGCGGTGCTGGCCACCCACCCCCTCGTGTACCACAACAGCCTTAATAGGTGTGCTACTCGCTAACAGCATTTGCCACGACGGTCTTTTAAAGGCTATGGGGGTGGGAAATCTTTGTGCACATCAGATGCAGATGTTCCCGGTGTCGCCGGGGCTTCCGACGACGCAGTCCGCGGCGTCGTCGCCCTTCAACCCCTACTTGGCGCCCGTGTCTCCGGCCATGAGCCTCGTGTCGGCCACCGACCTCTCGCTGGGAAACCCCGTGCTGCTGTCGGGCAGTCCCACGGTCCCCAGCGGGCCCGTCAACTCGGGGCCCTCCAACCAGGCGCAGCAGGCCAGCGGGAGCAAGTTGGTGCGTGCCGACCGCCTCGAGGTGAGGGAGGCCGCCACGGTCTGCGGGTGGTCGCTTCTGAAAGATAAGCTAATACCTCGGTGGGCTTTGCCTGCTAGGATGGGGTGGGTGGGGGGGGTGATTTAGTTTTATTTGTATGTTTTTGGATGATTTGTATGCCTTTGCTGTGCTTTGAACTGCAAGTCACGTTTTTTAAATGTTTTGTTTGTTACATTCTTACTGGACCTATGTGAAAAAGAGCATTATTGCTCATCGGATTCCTCCAGTATAAATAAATATTCTGATGACTGTGTGGTCATAGCCATTGTCATGACCATGCTCCTGCTCCTTTTGTTTTATTAGAAATTTTGCTCAAATGCGCCTCTGACCAAATGACCCAGGGTGAACCTCAGTTTTGCACGTTGGCGTCCGTACCTCTTTGTATCCGTTGTGTGACCAATATCCATAGAGTTGGTTTTTGGGTTAGATCGCGTAAATATCAATGTGTCGTTAAACCCGCCACCACCCGACACGGCCAAATAGTAAGGTTTGTCACGTAAACAAAACGTGTCAATTCGCTACTAGTAACACACCGGTGTGTTGAAGAGTACTCGCATTGTGTGCTAGAGAATACATGAATTGTACTCTCCAACACACCGATGTGCTGTTATAGTAATGAATTGGCACTTTTTGTTTACGTGACAAACCTTGCTAATTGGCTGCGTCAGGTGGTGGCGGGTTTAACGACACATTTATACGTCTTCGTATCCATCGGTTACATTCGTTTCTATCCCTGCAGACGGCAACACGTTTAGAAGCTAAATGCCAATTGTTTACATTCACAATTCCCCCATGGGCCATTCCCTACGGGCGACGTTTAGAATTCATAAGAAGTCCTGCGTACTCTGACCCCGGCTCGCTTAAAAATAGTTTTAAAAATGAGCCCAGACTTGGCTGTGATAGTCGACCACCATGTCAGGTTTCCATAGGCAGCTGTGCTAAGTGGTGGTCAGGAGTGCAGAAAAGCCTTTGTACTGCAATTCTATTCTCCCACGTGTGTATTCTTTACCTTCAATTAGCAATGTGGTGAAGTATGGTCAAATAACCCATATGAACCCCGATCCCCCCCATGGCGTGGGAAGGCCCTCATTCGGCAGTGAGTTGACAAAAGGGCTGTACATTGTCCACGTGTTTAAAATTCATGCACCTTCTCTATCTGGAGGCAATTCAGCAGTGAGAATCCACCGTTGAGGCAGCATAAATCGATTGAATTGACACGATTCAGGGTCACGATTTGATGCGGTAACTTTATCACTTTAGGTTCACAGTGGTTTGTGTTGTTACTGGATCCTGTTTTTGTCCATCTCGCTCTGGTACAGCTTCACGCAATCGCTTAATTTGCCACATTACCACGTAATGTCCTTATCGTTTGCCACAAATAGCAAATAATTAACCTTTGCGCGCGTGATCCGTACACATGAATCGCGAGCGTAGAAATCCAATTTAATTGGTGAATCGACGCGTCATTGCATGCCTATAGTTCTCGTTCACAGCATTTAATCGTTCGTTGCTTTGTTTTTTTTTCGGCGACGGCTCACATTATAGACTCCTTGCACAACTCGCAATGGCTGTGGCGCACGCCCTAGGTTATGTTCGCTCGCCTAATGATCTACGGTTGTTAATATTTGCTGGCGCGGCGCTTGTTTGTGAGCCTCTGCTTTCACGACAGGAGCTGGTGGGGGGGATGGGGGGCGCATCTGTGGGACGACACCCAGCAAGGGGCGTGGGGGCGGTCGCGATGTCCTATCGCCAGCGTTATTTTCGTCTCCGGCAAACATAACATTGGGTCCCGGCGGGCTGTGGGCTTATGCTGGTGTAGTTAGATGGCCATTAAGTTGATTGACTGAGCCTTCTTTGTCGGCCTAGGCGAGGGATTCTCTCCCCCCTCCTCATGTAGGAAAGTGTGCTACGACTGAAATGCACCGCTGTTTGGAGTGCGCTCGTTTAATTAAATAGTTTTTTAATTAACTTTTTTTGTTAAATAGTCACGTTGGAGGTTTGTTTTTCTCTTCCCATTTGAGCAAACCTTCTTTGTCGTATAACGGTAACACTTGCACACCTGCGAGAGGTGGCTTCTGTAGGCCTTGTGTTTAATTTTCACCACGGTGGTGAGATGTTAACTACCTCGCCTGTTATACAGGAGGACGTGGGTTCGACCCCGACCGTGACGCCTGTGGTTGTTTTGGAGTTTGCATGTTCTCTCCGTGGTCGCGTGGATGAATTTTTCTCCGGTTTTTCCCGCCACGTGTAGAATCAATATGCTCTCCGTTTATTTGGCTGCTATAAATGTCCACGTGATGATGGGCCACTTCCTTGAATTATCATTTGTGGCCAGGTCGCTTTTGAAAAAGAGCTATATAGCTCAGTGGGCCTTACCTGGTAAAATAAAAGTTTATTTTTTATTTTTAGTGGGCATTGGTGTTACCTCTGCTTCCTTACATTTCTGCTCTCCAGCCAGACCATGAATCTGATAAAACCTCACAGTCAGCACCGGCTTTAATGCCAAGTGATTGTCAACCAATCTCCAACATGTACAACCCACTTGGTTGGCGTGTACATATACTCATGTCACCCATTTGTCAGTCTACTTCTAGATGAGGTCTTACCTGCACAAGTGGGGGGGGGGGGGACCATACTTCACCCTGTTGCTCAGTGTGGTTTTGTTAAGGCGGGGAGCATAGCACAGCACGGCAGTCTATGTTGTAGCTCCGCAGGTGGCATGCTCATGAAAATGAGTGAACCTGTACAACCGGAAGAGAGGAAAAAAAAAAGTGGCTGCAATTCTCGAGAGCCCAGTGACGGTTACTGGCCTCTGCGTGTGCGTCCACGCTGCCTCTGCGAGCGTGCGTGCGTCCGTGCATGCGTGCGTGCGAGCTTGGTGTGTGCTTGCTAAGGGGGTCTTGGCGATCATTGCCGTGTGACCCAACTGCTGAGTGCGTGTAATACGATTGAGGAGATCGGCGCCCGCGTGCGCCAAATTTAGGCGGCGAGTGGCACTGAGCACCTCATTACTCTTGCCACCTGGCTGCTTACGCCGCGATAACCTTTCAAAGCTGTATGGGTAACCTTTAATTACTCTACCCCCTGTTGGCGGGCCTGGCTAGCTATAAAAGCATGAAAGCAATTAATAGTACATGTTTTCCGAGATGATCCGTTGTGTTTTTATACATGTGTGCGCGCGTGTGTGTGTGTGGCTAATGTTAGGTAGCGACAGTGCTGTGGTCTAGCTTGCGGCGTTCCGGACTCATTGACCTGAGTTTGAATCTGACGCATGGGGTCACTTGGGAGATGTTGGCAGCTGGAAGAAGTTGTGGTGATCACATGACCCTCGCCCCCCCCCCAATTTTTTATTCGCGGTGACTTTGAGGAGGCCCCAAAAATACCCAGCGGCTCGCAACGCGCAGCAACCGTGCAAAAAAATAAGCGTCGATATTATCTTGAATTTAGCAAGGTTATAAGAACGTAGGCAAAAATGACGACAATTCCAAAGTTGACCAATGTGTGGATAGAAGTGGACCGAAAAGTCTACGGTGGTTGAAGACCGCATCGACGAGATGGAACGGGATGGACGAGATGAAAAGCCCATCTGATAAACAAGCGATCTGAGAAGAAGAATCGTTGATTGAGTTAAGTTAATGCGACTTGTGCGCTGGTCTGGCTTTAATAGGTGCTCACGGACAGTACTCTAGAGGATGTTCGATATATGTATTTGTCTCTGAGTGGCTACGCAGTATCAGTGGAATTCAAAATGGAATCAGTTTTTTCCTTTCCCAGAAATGCCCAGTGATTTTTTTTCTCTCGATTGTGTGGCAGTCTCAGTCCAAATTCCAAATCGACTGCAACGGAGCTGCAAAATTTACCACATTCAGGCCTGGCGATTTGACACCGCCGGCTGCCATGGCTGACCCAGCTCACCCCCCAGCCTGCTGGAGGGCTGTGAGACTGGGTCGCGAAAATGCAGTGTATAAATACCACGGCGGCGATAGGAAAACACCGCCGCGCTGCTTGGGCCGCACACGAGAAATGTGCGGCAGCAGCACAAGTCCCATCGTGCACGCCACCCATGGGTATGTGCACACGGAGATATCTGATAAGCCAGCTGAGAGAACAAAGCACAGAAATTGATGCGCTTTTCACTGGAGCCCTTTCTAACGAGAGGCGGTGGAGGCAAGCGACGTTACCCCGCCGGACCCCCAAGTGAAACTCGCCTCCACACCCATCTTCCCCTTCACGTTCACCCATTTGGTGGTGTTGACAAACATCAGCCAACACCGGGTTGGAGAATTAGCTATCTCCCCGTGTAAATGGGCACAGAGCAAACTATAACAATTCATATTTTAGGCAAGGCCCCACTGAGCTATCTAGCTCTTTTTCGGAAGTGACTTGTCCGCAAATGATAGTTCAACGAAGTGGATTATCACGTGGACATTTATAGCAGCCAAATACTCTGAACGCGCGATGTTGATTCTAAATGTGGAGGGAAAATCCCGGAGGACCCGGAGAAAAATCCACGCGACCCGCGGGGAGAGAGACACGCAAACTCCAAATATACAGCAGGCGTCAGGGTCGGGATCGAGACCACGACCTCCTGCATACAAGGCGAGGCAGTTAACATCTTGCCACGACAGCGCCCGCCTCCTCGCGGGAGCGGTCGGGCCCAATTCTTGGCCTACGTGTCACCTTTTCATAGTGACTTTCGTTCCTGCCTTGCTGCCGACACGGAAGCCTTGCTGCTTGAGCCGTCCTTGCTCCCGACCGCTGTTTTGTCTACGATGGCAGCCGCGGTAAATTAAGAGCGAGAGGTGTTTTTATTATGATGATATTTATTTATTATAATAATATATATTTTCTACTAACGTGACAGCAACGGCGGTGCGGGGTGTAGCCTTCGCGTGTCACGTTTGCAATGCAAGCCGGCTGTATTTTCACAAAACGAGCGCCCGTGGCAGGGAAGGGGAGGCAGAGTAATGGGGGGGGGGGGGGGGAGGGTGATTTGCAGTACCAGGCTCAGCAGTCTCACGAGGTTGCCAAATGCTATGTGTGGTTGTGCTGCTAGCTCCCAGCTCGCCGTTAAAGGGCAGGGTGCATATCGCATGTTACGTTTATGTCTATAGCCTACCGTTTGGCACCTGTTTATCACAAACACCACATGCGGACATTGGAGGGGATTTAGTATCGGTTAGCACAGCCGATGGATAATGAGAAAACGAAAACACGTGAATCATTGAGGTGTCGTGGGAATTAAAAAAAAAGTTTGGCACTGACACGGTGGGGCGGCAGCGGCGCATCGGTTAGCGAAACCCCTCCGTGAGCATCAAAATCCCATCGCCATATTTGATGAGTTGGGGAAAATGTTCATCCAACCATGATGCTCATTGTGCACATAAGTCGGCCCCTTTTGTCAATCCACTGCTGGAAGAGAAGCCGGTCCTCGCCCATGCGAGTTTCGGGGGTTCTTCAACCATACTTCGCCACGCTTGTCAGTGCGGGGTCGGTGAAGGCTGGCAGCATAGATGTGTCAACGTAGAAGTACAGCACAGCAACGGATTTAGCCTTATGTTGCCTACCATTACCTAGTCTCACAGGAGCCTATAAAAACCTGTTTTATGCATGTGGTGGTCGCCCATCCAAGCACAATCCAGGCTCAACCCCACGTGGCTTCTGAACTCGGAGGAAATCAGGTGTATTCCGGGTGATTTTGTGACGGGCTGACTTGTTCTTCCACTTGCTTGCAAACGCGACTGACGAGCGATTTGAGCGAGCGCGCCGATTTTAACCCCTCCGGCATGGCGCTCCGTCCCCCCCTGGGGGTGGTGGTTTGGCGGTGGGCCCGCAGGTGTGCCGCGAGTTCCAGCGCGGCAACTGCAGCCGCGGAGAGAGCGAGTGCCGCTTCGCGCACCCGGCCGAGAGCACGGCGGTGGACTCGGCAGACAACACGGTGACCGTGTGCATGGACCACGTGAAGGGCCGTTGCTCGCGTGACAAGTGCAAGTACTTCCACCCGCCGCTGCACCTGCAGGCGAAGCTCAAGGCCAGCCAGCAGGCAGCGCAGCAGCACCAGCATCAGCACCAGCACCAGGCGGCGGCGGCGGCCGCGGCTCAGGCAGCCGCAGCGGCGATGGTGAGTGCTTTCCTTTCCTCCTCCTCCTCCTCCTCCTCCCTTCTCCTCGCTGTCCTCCTCCTCGACCAGCACGTCGTCACCGAAAGCGCGGACGCGTTGCCGCCGGGGGGAGCCAAGCGGATGCACGGCGGAACTCCGGCAGCGGTCGTGGCCGCGGCCGTTGCCGCGTTCGTTCGGTGTGGTCACGTTGCAGCTTTCGCGTTGGGCGTGAGACGCCGTGTTAAAAAGTCTCCGAATGCGACATTTTTACAGGGAACGTAAGGAACGGCAGGTATTGGCATTATGAATGACATTATGAATGGCAAGTAGCGCGTTCTTTGGGATTTGGTGTTTATATTGTTTGAAAGTGTATCTCGCGAAGTATGAGAAACATACACAACAGCCTTATGCATCTAGTAATCGCAATTCACAAGTTTTACATTGCATTGTCGACAATTGGCGGTTGATATGCATAGCTTTGTGCGCACAGTACGAGTAGCACATTTTCTAAATTATAATTTAAATGTAATACAAATTAATAAAATTCCATCCACTGCTAGATTAAGGCCAGTCCACATGATGTGGATCATGCGGGGTTGTTTGACTATGCTTCACTACCCTGGTCAATGCAGTTGTTAGTGAGTGGGGGCCTTTAGTTTCTTCAGATATAACTCGCCACTGATGTTACTCCTGGCCGGGAATCAAACTCTGCTCCACCGGCCGCGTACTGTTTATATGTAAGATTATTATGAGAAGACTAAAAGTTTTTTTTTCATTGTGCACTTGCTCATTTTCGTATTCCTTTTTACAAACTCATTTTAGTTTTTCAATGTGTAGTTTTATCTCAGTGTAAATAAATACTAATTAGACGTATATGAATAATTGGTCCAAATTAATAATTGGTAAAAATGTTTGGCATAACAAATGACCACATTTGTGTGATGCAATTTTGTATGGACGACGTTATATTAAAAATGAATTACCGTTATTAATTATTCTTGAGTAATTTCTTTAGGTGATCGCAACAACATGATCCTGGCCACTAGGCGGCCTTCCATTGATAGAAATTCTAACAATTCATTTCGTGGAGCTGTTCCGACACGAATTTTTTTTTTACTTTCACACCATCGTATCATTAAAACTATAGCCTTAGTATATCCGCAAAGTGGAAATCAGTGGCTGCGTTAAAATTGGCTCGTAACCAATTGCCGTGGCTCACTTAACGGTCCACGTTGTAAATGCTCTTCAAGACGTCTGTGAGTTCAGTCAGAATCCGGGTGACAAGAAACTCATACGGATGGGCGTCGAGCAAACCCCCAAGTCTGTTGTTAACAAAATCACTTCACGTTCTCAGTTTCCCTGCCACTTTTCTTTTGAGCCCCATTTGGTGGCATTTTAAAAGTGACATATGGGCTGAACACAGTGGCGGAGCTAGGATTTTCAGCCCTGGGTGACATTCAACAAATTTTAATTTCAAGAATGATTAGAGAGTCAGGCTGTTGAACTAGTCGCCATCGGTTGGCGACACACTCTGACAATGCGGTTGCACGGAGTCCGCCAGACCAAGTGTCGTACACTTATACGCAGAATGGTTCAGATTTTCTCTTTTTTTTCGGGGGTGACAATTGTCTACTCTGTCACCCCCCTGGCTCCGCCCCTGCCTGTACATGCGAGCATGCACTGTCATTTTAAATCAATCCCGTATATATGTTGCTGTGATCTGTACAGCGTTTATTGCATCCTGGGATTGGTTAGAAATAAAAAAAACCTTTAGCATTCAACTATAAAAAAACGGTTAAAAACTTTCCATCCTTTCATGCAATATATGCTTGCGCACGCAATTGTATGCTCTTGTACTTGTGAACATAAATGTGGCACTGATGTATCACACGTTCAATAAAGTAGCCGGTGCTTCTATGAACTTGTTATTAAATTGGCTAAGATGCTGACCTGTTACCTGCCAACGAACTAGCTAAAGTAAGTGCAACATTTGAAGATGGGTACTGCATACTCGAGAGGTCTAAATCAAGGGCTGCGGTATTTGGATGCAATGCTCGCTCGCTACTGAACCGGGGTTTCATTTCAGCCGGGGTCTGTTCGGATTGGTAACCCAGAAAATATTTCCTCACCCAGCACACCACATCTAGTATTCCTCTCGCGATGGCGGTGGCTGTCGTGAAAGGTGGCAAGCAGCTTGGGGATACCTTTATTCACCAATGGAATGATCATGGCTTGTTAAAAAGCTTGCTAAAAACTGATAGCAATGGAACGCAGGCTTGGCTCAAGCTCCTCATTTGCTTGAGAGACAGCGTCTTGAAGACACAGAGAAACAACAATAAGCCAGAAGACAAGGGTCAGGAGTGGTGATTACTGTGACGACCGGTGAAGCTTGATCTCAAGAGATGTCCTTGGCCCACTGTGCATGTCATCTCTGTTGAAGGGTGCGTATCGTTGGTCTTGTTAAGTCACAAGCAAACTCTCACGAACCAAACAACCGTTTAAGATGCCGAAGGATCACTGACTCTCGATGCTTCTTGGGGACGGACTGCATGATGATCATGGCTGATGATGATGACTGTGGCTCCTAGTGACATTCCACCCACTCCAATCTACCAGTGACCCTGAAAATATTTTTGCGAGAAATTAAGCCCTGGGCATGAGTGACTGCGAGCCGCAAGCGTCGGTGACGAGCGCCGGCATGACTCAGAACAGATGTGCGGGGATCATGCGGGAGAGAGGAATCTGGCTGGAGAGACGAGAGTGAGTCACGCGCAGCGCGTCCGAGGATCGAGAATATTCGTGGCGCTGCCGACATTGCAGCAGCGGTGGCATACGCCCCCAAAAGGAGGCCTAGGCTCACAGCACGCCGAGCGGTTCAATAACAGGGCGCACATTTTCTCTTTTCACACAGCGCCACGTTAAAGCGGCAAAGCAGTCAATTAGGCAGCCACTACCACCGCCACCCTACGTGCCATGTTTACAAATTATTGCGTGTTTTTTTGTTTAAAAAAAAAATTGCATGCCGCATATTTATTCGGTTGCGCGAACATGAAGTTGAATATGAATGTGTTTTAATATTAATGAAAAAGTCATGTTTCCTTCGTGGTCAATGTCAAGAGGTGATCATCACCGCTGATGTTGTTCCTACCTCGCCATTGGTTCCTTCTACGAGATCTTGCAGTTTTTTGCTCTGTCAACACCCAGTCTCCAAGGTCTGCTCCTACAGTGTCCCCCATTCTTCTTGGGACACCCCTTTATATGCCGTTTTTGAGCATTTGACAGTCATTTTGGGATTGTCGGCTTTTTCACAGCTGGTTTGGCTGTGGCATCCCATTAAACATTGGAGAAAACCAGTCTCATTCACCCACCAAGAAAAAAATAATAATGCCAAAGTCTACAATGCATTGTCCTACTTGGCTTTCAATTGTCCTAGTATGTACAGCGGTTAAAACTAGTTATTCAAAGTGGCTTGCGCATAAGTGAGAATAGGGACGTAGTTTACAGCTTTGGTTATTTGGCCAATCTGCAGAATACCGGAAGTTGTGAGAAGGAAATTAAGAAACAATTTGCAGTATGTGCGTTGAACTTATTTCTGCACAATACGTGGCCAACCACACTAATCAGAAGTGCGGGGGAAGGACAACAAACTAAACACAAAAAGCAGTTTGAAAGAAGTCAGTTTACAATCTAGATTTAACAGGTTGAGATGATAGGATCACATCAACCAATTTGAAAGAGGTCAACTCGACTGTTAATGTGTGCATTGGAGGCAAGGGTGGGTATCGTCTTTGGTTAATATTTCGGTCGGAGAGATAAGACTTCAAGAAACTCACTGGAAAGAAGCTGCTGGCGAATGCACGTGCATGCGGAGGATGTGAAGAACTCATTGGGATGAAAGGGTTAGCAACTTCGAATTTCGGGGTAGTGACGTGGCAACAAAAAGTGCCTTCGTAATGAGGTGGAGAAAGAGGTTGTTGATGGGTGGGAACACGTGTCCAGGGTGGAAGGAGGCGGGAAAGTAACCGAGGCATTCATCATGCATAGTCAGCGAAGGACCGTTGCGCCAATCGTGTGACCTCTTGCGACAGTATTCGCATAAAATATTCTTGCTGCTACACACCGGCGTCTCGACTGATTTGTTTGATTCACGGATCACGAGGGAAGGCGGAGGCAGGGTGACCACACGGGCGGCGTAATTTCTTTGAGGGTTGCAGTTCTCACTTTGGACGTCAACCAGTTACCGAGACAGCGGGCATTGGAGTGATACCCAGAGGGGGAAGGCCAAAAAAGCCAGACGGTCGGGATACTTTATGAGCAGACCTTTAAAGTTTGGTGGTGACTTAGCTACTAGGGGGTCAAGCGGTAGGTAGCAAGTGATGGTGCGATGACATGGACACCCTTGGCCACAATGACCTCAGCTTGAAGCTGGACACGAACCGCGCGGATGTCACGTGGGGCTGTCGGTGTTGTTTGCCAGCAATTGGAACGTGTTCATAGCACCGGTGAAAGCCTTTGCATTCTAAATGCCATTTGCCTGGTGCTTGCGTTTTGCGCAAAACTATGGCCCAGCAGCCATAGAGATTCTTCACCTTTGAAAAGTTTTGCACGGCACACCGCTGCATCTTAATGCTTTGTTTCGGAAGGTTTTGTTCCAGACGGTGGTGTGGTGAGGGCCCGTGTTTTTGTTCTGCCTTGCTTGGCAATTTACTTTTAAAGACAACTTCGTGTGCATTTTGTTACAAAGAGAAGTCTAGGCTTTCTCATTAATGCATTGAAAAAGTGTTTTTTTCATCTGCAACTCTTCCGATGGCATGCAGCCATTACAATAACACAAATTACTACAAATATGGCATTTCAACAAAAATAAGCGTACATTAATTGATGTACATATGTAAAACATACATTTTTTAGCCCTTTGTCAATCCGCTGCTGGATGAAGGCCTCCCCCACACTGTGCCGGTCATGAGGGCTGTTTGACTGTACTTCACCATGCTGGTTGGTGAAAGGAATGCCCAGAACTATTTGGGCATTACTCGCCACCACTGATGTCCGGGATCTGGGTTTATAGCGCAGTGCGTGAACCACTTCAGCACTGCTCCCGCCATGTATAAATAAATTACACATTTAAACCATAAAAAATATGTAACTTTTGGTAAGATTAGAATTTCACGTTTAAATTTAAATATATATTTAGTTTAAATGTATTTTTTACATTTGATAAATGCTGAATTATATGTGAGAATATATTTCAAAAAATTCGTCTGGCACTATGTTATCACGCTTTCACAATAGTATTTATTTTACTCCGACATTTTCAAGCATGCACCTTATGAAGCCAAAGTCACTCGATTTACACGGGAAAGTGGATTAAAAACATTTATGAAGAGTATTTTTCACACTGGGTTAAAATGCAAGAGTTTGGTTTTTCATTGAGACTACCCCCAAGCCACAGAATACAAATGATTCTGTCTGACAGACGTGGCTCCTAATTTATTTATTTCACAGCCTTTCTCTTTGTTATGTTTTGTCAAATAACGGAGAAAAGGCCCTTCTCCTGACAACACTTCCTGTACCTCCCTGCCTTTCCTCCTCTCCCACTCCAAACATGAGCTCACCGTTTCCAAAGGAGTCGCTCATTAAAAAAAATGCGTATGCATACACGAAGGGTGGCAGAAGAGGTCGTGGAAATTATACCCGGGGAGATGTGAACTGCTCGCTAAAAATTGTGGAGATAAGTCGCACGTACCACCAGGTGAAATTTCCAGGGGAAAGTGTTATGAATTCCCACATGTATAATACATGTACATGTGTACTGTTTATGTGTGTGTGTGTGTGCGCGCGAGTACACTCGTGTTTTGGGATGTACCGATTTCATCCCCGCCCACGGCTATTCCAACAATTGTCACGATCCTTAGCCGCGATTCAGTTCAAAACTCGTTTGTCCATTCTTGCTTTTGGAGCGCATGTCGCGGCCACTAGTGGCTGCTACAGGGATCACGTGACCCCATTACAGTGTCGGAAGTGGTGTCGGCACGCGTGTGTCTGCAGGCACGGGAGCCCATTTGGCAGAGCCCCCCCGGTGTTTATGGCTACTCACAGAACCCCCCCCCACAACCCACCATCACTGCCCGTAGTTCGCTGCCAATTGCTTACCTTGCTATGCCATACCTGGCCACATATCCAGCCACGCCGTACCCGGCCTGCCTGGCAGAGAGGGCCCCCCCCCCCTCAGTGTTGATGGATGCTCTTCGCCTGCATTTCAATTTCATCTTTGCTGCGTTCAGAGAAGTGCACCTTTGACTGCTTTATAATTTTATTCTTGAATAATTTCATTCAATTCCTACTTCCTGTAGTTGACGGGAAAGAGAAGAAAAAAAATCTCTTTGGCTGGAAAGTGGGGGTGCAGTTTTCGAAACAAAACGTAATGATAATAAACATTGCAAAGGGGCTTTGCTTTGTACACGTTTTGAGCACAACAGAAAGTCCCGACATGCTTTGCATGTGAAGATGATAGCGCCCTTCTTGTGCCACTTCAGAGCGCAACCTATACAGCAACCACCGGCTCAAGAGTTGAGTGTTGTGTGACCTTTATATTTTAGGTGCCAGTAATAGGACAACGAGGCAGTGTGGAAGGGCTTTCATAGCTTGATGGGGCGCAAGGCATGCTGGGATTTCCTGTTGTGCTTTTACCCTCTGAAACGCTTTTCTGCTCGTTATTGTCCTCGCTTCGTATTTCCGCCACTGCTCTGTTGTTGCCACCAGATGGCCGTCGGGACGGGCTGGGGTTTTCCAGGAGACACGCTATCTTTGGGACAAGTAAAAAAAAATTCCCCCTCCCGGCTTCACGTGTGTGCGAAAAAAAGTGGCGAGACCTTGGGTGCAAAAAAAATACGGTGGTCGGTTTTCCCCACTTTTCAAAGCAGAAGCAAAACAGGAATGAGAATCCGACAGCGCCCGGTCGCAACGGCACTCTCGGTTTTTGTAGCAGTTCTCTACGGAGTGTAGAGCCACGCCACTGGCAGTGGGCATCACCCAGGCGCCACCATAGTGGCAACAAACCACACGCCTCGCTCAAGCTACGATCTCGTCTTGTCTCGGCCCGTTGACGGCATGAAACAACAGGACATTCCGTCACGCTCATGGGTAGACGATGACGCACGCACGTTTAGTGTTTGAAGAGCTGGACCACCCCTATCCCCTCCCTTCTGCCCCCGACCCCCGCAGGGAATGTGGTGTCTGCATTGTAACAGTCGCAGTTTAGTCTTTAGATTCATGTTAATGTGAATGTTTCATTGGAGAAATCTAAATTGCCATTTATGCAGGGTCGTTTCACATGCAGGCTTTTACACATGCCGGGTTGTTAAAGTGTAATTTAGAAAATCACGAAAGGAATATGGTGCATTGTAGTTTCGTATTTTTCCCAGAGTAGTATTTGGTACACATTTACTAACCTACACCACACTCGATAAGTCATGTGTAAGGATTATTATATTCGCCGTGAATTTGTTTCCAAATTACTCTTTCACTGGATCAACCTGTCACTGTTCTTCTTTGGTGTACAGATTCTAGCCGGTGCTTTTTAGTGACTGTTTTGCTGTTAACCAAATTCAGTTTCGAATCACAAGTCACAATGAGATTTATTTTTGAAAATGTATATTTATATTCATGACTGATTTTATAAAGCAATTGCCATACATAATGCTATGGAACGTGGTCATTTCCGTAAGAATGCAAATGAATGCGCTTTGCAGAAATGGTTTGAACGCGCGCTTTGTGCTATTGCGGCTTGTTATCGCATTGCAGTATAATCGCTGTTATATGTCATTTAATCGTGTTTTTGTGTTTGTTTTTTCTCCTCACCTACCCACAATGCAACCCCAATCCCGTGACGCACCTCTGCTTTGCTGTTTGTGTTAACGCGCTTGAAACCCCCCCCCCTCCCCATTGGCCCATCGCTGCCATTGCTCGCTGCCTGCTAATTAAAGGCCCAGTCGGCTGCTGTCCAATCGCTCAAGCGACCCCTCGAGGCCACCTTTGACCTGGTACTTTGACCTTTCACCTTCTAGCTTTGCTTCCTAGCTTAAGTTTCGGGGGCGCAGAGGTTCACCGCAACTGGAGGGCAGATCCCCAACCGCTCAGCTCTCGCAAGCATTGTCTTTCGGTTTCTACATTCTTCTTGTTATTTTCAAATTTTCCCTTTAAAACGTTGCACCTGGAGCTTTGCGTTGCTTTGACTGCAAAGCTTGAGGCTTCACAGCGGCAATGTAAGAAAAAAAAGGGAACGAAGCCACGATCTTTTGTTGCGTTTTTAATCGGAAAGTGCGCTCGTTGTGCAAGCGCCAGGAAATGAACACAAAGGAGGGACTCCAAAGCATTTTCGGGTGTGTCCCGTGTGGACACTTGGCTCTCGCTCAAGAGCAGCAGAGTCACATGGATAACTCCGCCGCTGTGTTTTTACCTGCCGAGCTAAAGTGAATTGCTTGCTTTCTCGAGTTGTGATGAGCCTCTGCCATGATCAGAACGACTGCACCTATTAATTGGTTTAATTTTATTCTGATATATATGTGAATGTTAATTCAGTGCAGTGTTCGATTTATGTTTAATTTTTGTTACTTTTATGATGAACTCGCGCTGGCAAATATGAATCGCGTAACTCCAGCGTGAGTGGAAATGTGTTGTGATGCACGGTACAGTTGCGCACAGGTTGAAATATTTTGGGCGATAGACTACAGACTGACAAAATGGTAAATGCACTAACATTAATTGTGTGTTTTAATAGCAATACTCAATTGAAAAAATATGTACATGCCTAAATCCATCCTAAATTTTATTTTTGTTTAAACACGTCTGGCTGCCTTCTGGCACACTCGAGCATGAATATTTATATTACATAAGCAACAGTAACATCATAACTAACGAATAATTTGCGTAAATTGTGCTGCTTAGAAGTTGTAGACAAACAAAACAGATCTATATATACACACGGACATTGGTGTAAATATAATTAATGCAACGTGCATAAGTGCCAAGACATCAGTAATTGTTTTACATGCGGGAAAGCTTTTTTAACTTTATTTAAACTAGGTGCTGTGTTTGTAAAAGTGACACCATTGAGGGGGGGGATTACTTTTTTTGTTTAAATTGCAAAAACACATCGCGTTATGAATGCATGCCTGGCGCCAGTGCCTCCCCTTGTCACTTCTAAGCGACGGCTTCAAAAAAAGAAGAAACGCGGGACGCCTCCTCTGTGCTCCGCTTTGCTTGTAGGTGGCAGGAGCCTACTCCCCCACCCGCCCCCCGCCGTGCTCTTAGACGCTTTGCGTGCTCCACTTGGGCAGCAGCACGCTGCCCCTCTCTGCTAGCCCCCCCCCCCCACCACCCACCGCTAGCTCCCCCCGAACGATCGAGAGAGCGAGTGTACAAGCGAGCTTCCGATAAGGCGTTGCCGCAGGTTGCTGCGGAGGAGGGATCTTTGTTAATGGAGCCGTGTTGTTGCGCCACTGCAAGTCCCTTTGTCGTTGCGTTTTTTCCGTCTCATAAACCCCCGCGTGCCTGCGCAGCATGCCGGACTAACGGGAGCCAGTTAACGGCTCGGAGAACATTTATTTACTCGCCCACTTTCAGGCGCGAGAAAAATTCCGATGGGAACGAGCAAAATTGATGCAAATAAAATCTCGGCGATGACGGAAACGCTCGGGTCTTAAATTGACACTCTCATTCCGAGCATCAGTTTTCATCACGAGCGTATCCACGGCTGCGTTTTATTGGCCCTGATGAACCCTGACAAGAGGCGAAATGCTGAGCCTGCGTCAACGGGAGTCTCAGCGCTGAGCCTGCGTCTACTTTTTGCGCTAAACCTCAAACTTTTGCGGAGGCTCCGCTTGCTTCTGGGCCCGGCTCGTGCCGTGAAGGGAAGTGCGCAGAAGCCTCTTGCTGGGGCGCACCGCCCGCGTCGTCGTGACGACCACGGCCCACCTAGTTGTGACGAACACGGCCCGCGTCATTGTGACGAACACGGCCCACCTAGTTGTGACGAACACGGCCCGCGTCATTGTGACGACCACGGCCCACCTAGTTGTGACGAACACGGCCCGCGTCATTGTGACGAACACGGCCCGCGTCATTGTGACGAACACGGCCCACTCCACCCGAATGGCACTCCCATTTCCAGCGCCAGGCTTTTTGCACAGCGGTTTTGGTGGACAATGTTCAGATGTGTATGTGAGCATTAGTTCTAGGAATTTAACTTTCTCGGAGACACGACATGAAGTAATTTTCCGGCTGCTGGTGTGAATGTTGTTATGGTGACTTGGTTCAGGCTCGGTGAATTTTGTGCACGCGCGCACGCGCGTGGTTTTTGACAAGAAGGTGCGACACAAGGTGCTGCCCTGCGAGGAGTAGCTAAACAGCAACCAGGCATGTGGATTCCCTGCCACTGATTGAATTTAATAACGAGGTTAGTATTTCCGTGCATAAGTGAACTTTAATTGTGGCTGTATTACCGTCAAGCGGCTGCGGAAAATGGGAACCACGCCTCGCATGGGATGTCGCGGCGGTCCTCGCAGTCACTCGGTTGACAGCTGCAATGCTGCTGCAGGCCCCGGGAATTTGACTTTTCTCCAGGCCCTTTGAAAATTTGAGTTTCCCAGATTAGCCGTACGCTGTTACAGTGTCGAAGCTCCGTGTCAGCCTGGCATGAGTGATGCATGACCGGGGCACCCCTCTTGCCGTAGGGCTACCGCATGTTATGTGTACGGTGTTCGTGTACCGCCTAGCGGGGCGGGGACGCACCCGGCACGTGCCGCTTTGGTGGACGATTCCAGGCAAAGCCAGAAAACGTGAATTTTTCACTTCCATTTCTTAAGCCGCGTGCTGGACGACACCGTACTTCAGTCTCAAGCTAAATCCTGCGCAATGCAGACCCTGATGATGAGGGTCAGCTCGTAGTACGGCACATTGCCGTGTTTTAATAGGCTAGATTGCTGTCTTGTGGCCGAGGGTTTTTCTGTTCTCTGAACGTTTAGCAGCGCGCTCTTCGGGTTGGCCTGGCCCAAGAGTGAGAGCCCACCGCGTGAAGTCACCGCATAAGACACGTTCGGCGATGCAGCCCCCAAGGCCTGTATGGAACTGCAACTGCTGCGTTCAGATGTATTATGGTCAGGGTGTAGGATTTTTTTTTTTAATAGACGTGCCATGATAGTCGTGAAATGCGTCGCATGTTTTGTACGATTGACTTGTGATTTAATCGAAGGTTTAGTGTAATTAGTGTTTGAGCGGTGCTAATTTAGTGCTCACAAAAAATGTTTCGGGAACAGGATAGTGAGCACTCGCACAAGACTCGTTTGGTACGGTTGGCTACATAGGGTGTGCGAAAGAAGTTCAACATACATACTCGCGCAACTAACATTTTTCAACGTAACCTTGAACACCAAGACACGCGTGCCATATTCTGTCGTTGATGTGTCAAGACAGCCTCAAGTACAGCGTTACGGTTAGGTTGGTGCCCCATATGTCGCCACGGTCTGAAACGCATTTGTCTTTCACTTTGCATGTAGTAGCTTTTAATGTAACGTCCCATGTCATTTGTTGACAATGTGCATAATCGGGCTGGCCGAGGCGAGCGACTTTTTCAACATGCGCTAAAATACACAGTGCTAGGATGTCGTGTAAAAAAATAAATACATTTTATTAGCCCATTACCTGGGTGGCTGTCCAGATGAACAGCAGAATCCAAAAGGCTTAATGAACCGTGCGAGTTTTTTGGACAAATATGCCTTCTCTGAGAGTATAGATTGCGGTTTCACTGTGGGATGACCGAGGCGGCTCCATTTTGAATCCCTTTGTGTTTGCAGTTGCGGCGAAATTCTTACATCAATACTTAATTAATGAATGCAGATGAGAGCTGTCTGCTAATAAGCTGTTTTCAAAACACGCCGCTGTTTGCCGTGGCAGCATCCGCAGCAAGTGTTGTAACCTTTCGTGTAGGTTTTGAAGTGTGCACGCACATGTCTGCATGTGTGTGTGTGTGACAGTACAATGCCAAAATCTTCCGATTGTGAGCGTTGCGAACAAACGGGTTGAATGTTTTGCCAAGCAATTAAGGCTCCTTTCAATTGTATGATGGCACATAATTGTTTATTTTTTTTCTTTATAGAGAATATACTTTTTTACCAAAGACATCCTCGCTGATTCTCATGGCACTTTTCACGAGGGTCATGCTAAGTTTTCACAGTGATCAGTGCTATGCATTTTGAAATTCAGTCATTTGCGAGTAGATTTTTAATTGATTAAATTTGGACCATGACTTCGCCAGCACAGTTATGGCCTGCTCTTCTTTGAATGACTTCACATGATCTTTATGTCCACTATGAAGCAGAGGGCGTGTATTTTATGGTTATTGCACCCATGGTATTAACCAGGGTTGCCTGCTATAACCGAACCACAAACCTCTGCAACACGCGGTGAACGCACTACCGAGTGGCCATGTAACCAACCCATTGGTTCCAATTTATTCCAAAAATGGACTCCATAAAATATGAATGTAATATTTTGGTAACATTTTCTGTGATTGAGCACCGTAGCCAATTTGTTTCCATGCGTAAAGAAAAAAAGTTAACCACATGAATATAATTCTTCGTATTTTATTTTGTGCCAAGATCCGGGCTTGACAATTCCTGGGGTCATAGAACGGGAGCCGTGCTTGTGGGCATACATCACAGTAAGAAGCCCGATTCATGAAACAAAAATGTATCTTTGTTTTAGTATTCATGTAACTCTTCTGCTTCTTGTTCTTTGTTTGTGTCTCTCATTTCTCCCCCTCTTTCCCTTTCATCCTATGCGCCCCGGGCGTCTCCCCACTCCACCCCCGCACTCCCCGGCCCCCCCCAAACCTACCCCCCCCAAACCTACCCCCCCCCCCTTCCGCAGGCGCTACCCCCCGGATTCCTTGCTCCGTTACCAAAGAGAGCAGCACTTGACAAAGCCAACGGGGCCACGGCAATGTTCAGCCCCAGCGTCCTGCACTACCAGCAAGCCCTAGCCAGCATGCAACTCCAGCAGCAGGCCACCTTCCTCCCACCTGGTATGCACGCTTCTCCCGCCCCCAAAGACAAAGATCCCCCTATGGCCTTGAGCTGACTTGGGGTAAGTGCTGTTAGCGAGCACCTTTGAAGGCCGGCACGGCACATGAGTGGGGGTGGGTGACCAACACCAGCCCGGCGATGGGAGCTGGAGCTGAGTCTCGACGTAGCGTTGCTAGCCTGCTAAGATTGCCGCTCCCATGGACATGCAACGGCGACGACGACGACACGTCATCCATTGAAATCGATTCCAACGTTTGCGCGTTACCCGCATCGAATTGCGCGTGTAAGAATCGATGTATTTACTGGTTTTGCATAAGACGTGATAATGATAGGTTCCGGCCAGTGAAGAGAGCAAAAATGTGTAAATGACATGGAAAAAAACGACCAACGACCCAAACGGGCTGCAACAAGCTTAACAAACGAATTATTTTTAAACGAAGAGAATCTTGACCCCCTTCCCCCGCTAACGTGATAATTCATTGCACAGCCGGGTGCCGGCGTTAAAATCGTTGGCAAGCAGGACACATTAACGCGGAGCCCATTCTAAGCTCCAGTCGGCGCCGTGCCCCTCCGCGGTCCCGCCATTTCCACGTCTCCCGACTTCAGCCTCCCGTTCCAACGCAAATCGAGCCGCCCGCTGTTTTGGAGTGGCCCCACCTTTGTCTTAAATGGACACGCGCGCCACGTTGGGTGCGTGCGTGCGGCGGCTGGAGGGTCGGGAAGCCGGTAGCATCGAATGCGTCTGTTCACGGTGACCCGGGTGAACCCAGCGGAGCGTTTGTCTGTGCGCCACCTACGCACGAGAGGGGGGGGTGGAAAGTTAACCAGAAAGTAACCTTTCAATTAGCCTGCTTCGCAAAGCGCACCTTTTTTGCTGTAAAATTGGCCGGCGAAGGTGAAAGTGCCAAATTCAAAGACCCTCGGGTACGGTCCAAGTGGCAAATTTAAAGACCCCGGGGGGGAAGGTGAGACCTTTTTTGCAGAGAGTCTATATATTGAGCTACGCGTGCACCCATTCGCTATCGACGTGTTTGGTGCTTCAGCTCGTCGCCCGTGGCACGTGCACGCACAGCGGTAGCGCGCGGACGCAGCGGGTTGAGCGGTGGAAGCGGCGCGGCGTTGCGGAAGTCTCACCTTCGCGCGGCAGAGCCTTTTCTCGTCGTGGCCAGCGACAGGGCATTTTCACCGCTCCTTGCAGAGGTATTGCGGTTCGAGTCCGACAGGCCGCATTAACCATATAATAGCGTATGCCTGCTTTCACAGTCTCTAAACCTCCGCAAGTCAGTCCTGACGAGATTGATAGGCAGCTTATCAATAATTCACGAACTTCGATCGGCAAAAACACAAGACGGCAAGTTCTACAAAGAAGTTTATTGCACAACTACGTTACTGCCAAGAAACCTTCTGAATTCTCCCGACCGTTCTCGGTGAAGGAAGTAGATGCCGGTATTGCCCAGTTGAAATGTGGGAAAGCCTCAGGTCTTGATGATTTTTACCCAGAATTCATGAAGAACTTGGGACCAAGAGCGAGAAAATGGCTAGCCACATTCTTCCCAAGCAGTGGAAAGAGGCAAGGATAATAGCCATTCTGAAACCAGGCAAGGACGCATCGGATGCTCCAAACTACCGCCCTGTCCCTACTCAGCGTCTGCTACAAACTAATGGAGGCGGCTTCTGCTCAAAAGGCTGATGCCCACGCTTGAGGAAATCAAAAGGCTGATGACCAGGTGTTTGCCTTAACAAGTCACATCAAAGCCGGTTTCGAACGCCAGCTCAAAACTTCAACAGCTTTCATTGACCTCTCAGCTTATGATACCGTATGGTGGAAGGGACTCCTGCTGAAGCTTGCGAAAGCCGTGCCTTGCTGACCGTCCACCTTGGTGAAGCTGCCAGCAGCCCACGAAGATTGAACAATGGACTCCCGCAGGGATCAGTCCTGGCACCAGCGCTGTTCAATCTCTATACTCGCGACATTCCAGCTCATCTTGCCGTAAGTTCACATGTGCGGATGCTATCGCACTCGCAACTCTAGCACGGTAAATGGAGGACACTGAGGCAATCCTCCAAAAAGATCTGAAGACTGGAAGAATACTTCAAGAATTGGTGCCTAAAGCCTAACCCATTGAAGAGCGTCGTCTCCGTCTTCCACCTGAGCAACAGACAAGCTTCAAAAACGTTAATCGTTAACTTCTGTGGGGCGAAGCTAAGGCGTGATGAACACCCTCGGTATCTTGGAGTTACCGTGGATCGGACACTTAACTACCATCACCACTAAATTTTGATTTAAAACTTTCGTGACTGCAGGGATTCATATTCTTGTTTCTTTCGGTAAAGTCACGTTGAAGGGAAACAATAAAATAATAAAAATATGAAACAATAAAATTCTCACGACGTTTCGACTGCAACACAAGCTGTGGTTTTCACACCTGATGATTTAGATTTAAAGCTTTCGTGACTGCAGGGATTCATATTCTTGGTTCTTTCGGTAAAGTCAACGTAGAAGGGAAATATAAAACAATAACATTCTCACGACGTTTCGACTGCAACACAAGCTGTGGTTTTCACACCTGATGATGATTGCTTGTGTTGCAGTGGAAACGTCGTGAGAATTTTATTGTTTTGTATTTTTATTATTTTATTGTTTCCCTTCTACATGACTTTACCAAAAGAACCAAATATATATATATACCATCACCACCTCAAACAAGCAAAGGTGAAACGAAAGCACGAGTGAATATTCAGAAACCTGCAGGAACAACCTGGTGAAGCGATGGCAGCACGTTGAAGATATCGACGCAGGCCCTGGTTCACTCCACTGCGGAGCGCTGTGCCCCCGGTGTGGGGTGCAAGCCCTCACACGAACCTTGTCGACGCCGAAGTTAACGACGCGCTTCGTATCATCAGCGGTTCCCTAAAGTCTACTCCACTCCCGTGGCCAACATCCGACGCGATGATGCGACGGCACGGGAGTACAACAAGATAATGAACAACTTCACTGCCGCTCCAGCAAGATCTAAAGGAAACCCCCACACCCAAGGGTAAAAATTTGGAAACCGTTCTGGATACTCGCCTCCGCTCTAGCAGTCGAAAATAAAGACACACCACCACTCTGTGGTCTGAATCATGGGCGGCTATGAATGTGGCAAACAAAAACATAATTCACGATCCGACGGTGGACGTACCGGGATTCTGTATTCCACGACGACTATGGACCACGCTGAACCGCGCTCGAACACAGCACGGCAGATGCTCGTCCACGTTCCATAAATGGAAGATCAAAGAATCCTGGCGGTATCGCTGAAATCCACACTGCATCAACCACATCATTCGACTGGATGAGGAACTTTTACATTCATTTATAACGATCATTAAAACTGTTGCTTTTTTTTACACTGCCATACGAAAGAAGAAGACAGTGGATATTAAAGAGATCCCGTGACGTCATTCGAAGAAGGAGCCAACTGTTGTGAGATTTGCCAAATTTAAAACAAATTACTTGGAAATTACTTAATTGGGAAATATTGTAATTTTCACTCCCGATTGCAAAAACTTAATCGGACGCTCCCGAAAACGAGTCTCAAGACTCGGTGAGGCTTGCCTGGGCACACAAACGTAGCACCAATAGGAATAAAAGGTGCATTTTCAAAAGCCGGGACCGTTTAACGGATACTTTTCGGTCGCTTCCACCTGTAGCGTGTGGGTCTCTGCATGCCCATTGCGTGCCCGATGCAAGAGAACGCAGCGCCCGGCCTGGCGCTCCTTTAGTCTTTTATACGTAGCTCGAGCTATGCCGCAGAGAACAAAGGCCGCCCCCTGTAAAGAAAGCGGCGCTGCGTAATTGGCTCGTGATTGCGCGGCTCCGGAGCTGCAGGTCTGTCGACCCTTGCCCTGGTGGCTGCAGAGGTCGAGTGAACCCACTACAACATGCACACAAAGTGAAAATCCACCGGTCCTTGCACACGCGATTTGATGCACGCATCGTGAGCTTAATAACCGATATCAAGCTATGGAACTCTGCATCGTTACCCCCTACAGCTCGCACACGCACGCACGATTGTCCAGGCCGGTCCCCTGTGCTCTGTTAAATGATGCATGCACCACTCACAGCACCTCCATTCATTGCGACGTTGTGTTGTTGTTTTTGCGGCAATCGCAGCCATTTAAAGGGACAGCTTCACGAATATTAAAGTAACTCGTGGCGAGCCTAATAGTATGCGTGGTACGTGGTATGCAGACCCAAGTCAGTGGCACGAATATGCACATATGATGGGGAGGACGTACGGACGACTGTCTCAAGGTGAGGGTCACGGCGAGATCGCGGGGGGGTGACACGGGGGGAGATGAGCTATCGTCTCGCGCGCTTCAGCTCGTTACTAATCGACATTCCTGAAGCCTGTCCTTTTAATTGCCGCGGCTGCCTCCCGACGTCGCTTGCGAGCCGGCCCCCCGTCCGCACCCTTCTCTGTCTGCGCTGCGCTTCGACTGCGGGGCAAAACCCTCGTTTGAGTTCACGACGCCGTCAGCTTTGCATTCATGACCGCCCGCGCGTGCATTTTTTTATTTATTTATTGCAAAATTTTTTTTGTCAATTTTATTTCACACTACTACTTTATCGACGTAATTCGGAACTGAGGGTTGGCGTGCCGTATAATAGAGTAAATGATTCGACTGCAACTGGAACGTCCTGAATTGGAAGCGTACCGATGAAATGCCACTCGGAGTCTACAGCAGACACGACTGTGAATAGGCATGTAGCAGTGCCTATTGTGCCAGCCAACTGCTATTTCCCCACCCACAGCCATTAACCCATCCCTGTGCTTACCGATTATGCACTCGAATTATAATGGTCAGCTACGCGCCTTATTTTCAAAACCATTTTTTTTACGTCAAAAACACCACCCAGAAAAATCTTGGGCAGTGCCAAGCTTCTTTTCTAAAACTCAAGTTTCCATGGCTTTCCACAAGCGCAAGCAATGGGACTGAGCGTGAACAATGCAATGCTGGTTTTGCTTGGTTTCCCCAATAGACCCCAGCAATTCTCTTCCAGCATTATTAACCTCCCTCAACAATAAAGCTTTAGCCAGCCCCAGGGTATCTCGAGCGATGGCTATAATTCAGCGGACGAACGATTCTAAGTATGGCCGGCCGTGTGGCATTCTGGAAGTCCGCGGGCAGGCTAACTCGTCGGCGTGGTCCCAACGGGGCGTGCGCTCGCTCAACCGTGCGCTGTCGAGGGGCCCGTCGTTGAGACGTGCCCCCCCCCCCCCTTACCCTCGCTAATGCTTGCAGCGTCGCCCGCTGGAGGGTTCCCGACGCGAGTCCAACAACAGTGGACTAGGGTGACAACGGCTCGTCCGTCCGTAGGTTCACGTCGACAAGCGAGGAACGCCTGATTTAGATTGAAAGCTCTGGAAAGAATTTGTATTTCGGTCGTTTGCAGTGGAGAGCGACGTTCAAAACGATACGAATACAAATCGACGTTGAAATTCTTAAACGGGCCGTTTTACGAGATTAATGTACGACTTGGTACGTGGTGGTGAATAAATTAGTTTTGAATTCCCCCACCAGTTCTTTTTTCTTTCCGGCACAATTGATTCCTATTGACATATGCTGCTTTACGTATTTACATGTAACCACATAAATACAATTAACCGTCTTCTCTCGCTCTGCACCCACCGTCTTTCACAGCCAATCTGTCCCTCCTGCCCTAACTAATGGTACACCCCCGCTGGTGCCCTCGGGTGCTCGGCTCTTTAAAGTCCCCCCCCGTGTCCTGCTGACTGCACCAACCAGACATTCCTCCTCCCGTGTGCGAATTCTGCACCCGAAGGCTGCCTGTTGCGCATTATGTGACCCTGAGAACAAAAATGGGCGAGGGGAGGGAGAGAAGGGGGGGGGGGGGTCCAGTCACCTTGTTAGCATCGATCGCTTGCCATGGAGTGCCGCCGATGATCGTTTGCCTGCTCTCAGGCCCGAGGAACCCGTAGTCCGCCATACGGAACAATTTGAAGCACGTCTGGATTCTAGTTCTGCTCAACATCAGAATCAGAATCTTTATTTTTCCCGGAGAAACTCCTTGAGCTTTGAAGCTCTTTTTGTATGTTGGACTTCTTTCGTACCGTGCTAATCAGAGGTGCGGAGGAAGAACGGCAAACTAAACATCACAGAAGTCCAGTAGGGGTGGGTCAGAAAGTTACAGCAACAAGCAATACAAAAACACAATTGGAGTGCAAAGTATAGGGAGGATCTCTGCGGCTGCTCAAATTTTCCCGAGATCAAAAATGTCTCTCGACTCCCGGCCCGTTTTCATTGTACGAGCGGACGTAACATGGTTTTAATCGTTCGTTGCTGTGTTTGTTGCGGATATTCTTTTTGTTTGCTTCAAATTTGTATTTTGTTTCTTTGATGAATTGGCCGCGTTTCCGAGCATGTAGTCACGCACGCTGCCACCGCACACACACGCCGCAACGGTCGCATCACCACAACTCGCACACGTTAAACTGAAGTTTCGTGATGTGTTATATGAAGTACAAAGTATCGCTAAACTTGACAAAAAAAGTAAATGTATCGTGTGTGTTAAAAAAAAAAAAAACCCGCGAAGGCAATCGTCAAATTTAATGCAACATTCCGGCAGTGTAACGTTTTAATGAAATACGCTGTGTGCACCTCGGGAGGCAACAGGCAACCATCTGGTCTGGAAATTGGCATCTGATTAAGCCTAATGTGGACCTATTGATTCTCCTCCCCCCCGTTTCTTCCTAACGATCCCCTCCCGCCTCCACCTTGGGTACGCTGCATGCATCCTGTCAGGCACCGTGCTGTGCATGCCGCCCACCACAAGCCTGGGTATGTTCGGCGATCTCCTTTTCTGCTGAGTCACGGTTGAATCGGTGTCTCCTCACCCCCCCCCCCGCCCCCTGCACCCCCCACCTGCCCACCCCTCCCCCAAGCCCTCCCTGCCCCAACCCCCGCGGCATTTCAATCCCAAATCTGTGATTGCCGTGCATTCATGCTGCAGGGGCGCGACTCCTGTTGGGCGGGGTTCGCAGTTCGTTACGGGGTCAGAGGTGGTCGCGGCGAGTACGGGGACAGACAGAGACGGCGTCCTGTTGGTGTTGAGGTTGAGGCCAGTGGTGTAGCTATCGAGCGTGCTGGTGCTGCAACCACGCCGGGGACCATAGACCGGGAGAGGCTTTGGGGCTACAGACTGGGGGGGGAGGGTGGTTGCTTTGCCATTTCATTTACTTTCACCAGGGCCCTCGGCGCCAAATCACGCTCGGCCACTGGTTGAGGCGGTCGGCCTGCAATAGTCACCCATGCAGAGCACGCAGCAGCCCTTAGGAGGAAATGTGCGAGTCTGGAATCGGTTTTGTGTAACGTGCCATTTGTTCGGGATGGGAAGGAAAGGAGGGGGGGGCTGTTGGCGGGTTGTGTGGGTGTTTTTTTAAGCGCTGCATGGACTTGTTTCAGTGTTTGAGGTGCGAGGGGCACGGTCTGTTAATTCCGAGGGAGGGACGGCCGCTGATGCAACTAGTATGCGGCGCTTATTGATTTTCAGATTTTAACCAAAGAAGGCCACGGTAGAATGTCTACCATACGACACGGGGGGGGGGGGGGGGGGTGGGGGGGGTGGTGGGAAAAAAATATTTTTAAAAGGCAACAAAAAGGTCCAATTGATTTTCTGCTCGTGCTAAAGCCATCATCTAACGTAATGCCCCTTCAGATCTTTACATTTTCCATTTTGTTTGCATTAAAGATTTATACACCGGCAACGTTTGATTGACTTTGGTGAACCTGTGGGCGCTAACGGTTGCGATTGCTTGCTGGCTTGAAGTGCATCGACCAAACCCGTGTAAGCTTTTTTGTGTTTCGGCGCTGCCGCGAATGTGTCTCGGGAAGTGCGCCGTGACCGAGTGCTTGATGCACGCAATACGTTGCGAGTTTGCTAAGCGCAGTCTTTAGAGGCGCCAGTGCCAAGCGGCGTTAAGAGGCAGGAGCGTCGCGCTGTCTGCTGGATGTATGTGACAAAGAGCTTCATAGCTCCATCGGATTTCTCCAGGAAGAATAAAGATTCTGAATTTGGCTTTTATTCAGGCCCCGTCAGCCGACCACAGCGACAGTTCAACACACCATTCGACAAAATTTAGCAACCTCACAGTCAACTTCTGAACCATTCGAATAATGCATTTGCAGGATTATATTGTATTATCAGTAGTTAAATTTAGATTTAAAGCTTTCGTGACTGTTTCCCTTCAACGTGACTTTACCGAAAGAACCAAGAATGTATTATCAGTAGTTGTTGAAAACGTGGCGTAAAGCCGAATTGCACCATCACCGTGTATGAAGAGGTTATTTTGTCCAGGGGTAACATCCCACACCCGTGGTATTTTGCGAGCATTTCTCCCTTATCAAGAAAGGCAGACAGATTATTAATGGATTACAGTCTTAGTCGGTTGGCACTCTTTTGAGCCTGAGTAAAAAAAAAAAACAGCCGCTTGATGATTATACTAAATGGCGCCCACAAGTGTCTTAAATGTACTTCCAGAGTTTTGGCAATGCCCTGTACGGGTGCAGATGCTCCTGCTGTGTTGGGAATCCCTTGCTGCTGCTGCTGCTGCCTTGCATGTGTTTGGTTCCACAAACCATCGTGAGTGGCCCTGGGCCCCGTGCGTGCGTGTGTATGTACGGAAGGGATATTGAGACCAGAGCCCACTCGTATCCCCATTTGATTGGCAAACCAGATGGAGGAGCAAATTCGATATGATCATCTTCTTGGTTCTTTCGGTAAAGTCACGTAGAATGGAAATAAAATAATGAAAATAAAACATAATAAAATAAAATTCTCACGACGTTTCGGCCACAACACAAGTAGCCTTCTTCACGTGAAGGAACGGAACTGTCGGGACGACAGCGCTTCAATGAACGCTGCTAAGATTCGCAGCGTCTTTTAAGCTAGGTGGGAGAAGTGAAGCGCCTTGACAAAGGAGTTTACATATCAAACAGGAGAATGTAGCATTGAAATAGCTGTGTTAAAGTGTTGGATCTGCAGGGTGTTAAAGTCAGAAATTAGCATGTAACTGGGAGATTAGCATGATGTTAATGTGATGGATTAGCATGTGACTGGTCACGGAAATAGCTATGTTAAAGTAAAAGTTTACGTATCAACAGAGGCATTTAGTATTTGGACGCTAAAGGACTGCAACTACCCAACGATCATACAATAAACTGATGTGAAAAAAAACTAAGTATAAACTGTATCAATATAATAAATGTACTCAGTATATTCTTCAATAAGTTTAGCTGTTAATATAAAGTAACTGGCTATACACTACACTATATAATGAATATCATATAGTAAACTAATAAAAAACTAAAATATAAACTACATCAATGTTATCAATAAACTCTATATACTCTCCAATCAGCTGAGCTACTAACAATAAGTCGTTATACATTACAATGCCATATGGCGAAAAAATGGGTGGCGGTTTTTTTTTCAACGTTAGCACCACGGAAAGCGACGAGCTTTGTTCAGACGGACGAGTCCATCTATGCTCGGAACGGAGGAGGGGGGAGAAACAGCCACGATGCGCTGCTCTGTCCTGTGTTGCTTTACAACTATGTTATAAACTAGACTACTATACATTGCAATGTTATACCTTCCAATCTGAACTACATTGTATAATATCGTATACACAGCCCAGTGTAAGCTCTAACATTATGCATTATATTGATATGTCTCCAACTAAACTTTCTTCTACATTACACAACTATACACCGTAATATACACTGCCGTAGACAAACCCACCCTTGAATTATACAATGCGTTACTATACACTACCCTATACTTTAGACTGTAAAATATTACACTTGTAATATTACACTGTATTATTCTTCCAACCCTACTGTATACCACACTGCTGTATATTCACTATACAATTACGATACTATATATTGCCTTATGAATTATGTTATACTATTTATTATTATACACAACATGCTATAAACTATACCATTGACTGTCTTGTGAAAGGTATTAAGAGGCAGTGCCAGCGAATGGACTGCGGTCTGAAAGTCACCGTAAAATACAATCAAGAACAGAAATGGTTTATAACGCCTTTCCAATGGTTGCTAAGCCAGAATCCATCTAAACCATTTTGGTTCTTAATTGATTGTATTTTACAGTGACTTTCAGACCGCAGTCCATTCGCTGGCACTGCCTCTTAATACCTTTCACACGACGGTCAATGGTATGGTTTATAGCATGTTGTATAATAATAATAATAAATAGTATAACATTGTAATGTTTAACATCATTCATAAGGCAATATATAGTATCGTAATTGTATAGTGAATATGCAGCAGTGTGGCATATAGTAGGGTTGGTAGACTAATACATAGTGTAATATTACAAGTCTAATATTTTACAGTCTAAAGTATAGGGTAGTGTATAGTAACGCATTGTATAATTCAAGGGTGGGTTTGTCTATGGCAGTGTATATTACGGTGTATAGTCCTGTAATGTAGAAAAAAGTTTAGTTGGAGACATCAATATAATGCATAATGTTAGAGCTTACATTGGGCTGTGTATACGATATTATACAATGTAGTTCAGATTGGAAGGTATAACATTGCAATGTATAGTAGTCTAGTTTATAACATAGTTGTAACGCAACACAGGACAGAGCAGCGCATCGTGGCTGTTTCTCCCCCCTCCTCCGTTCCGAGCATAGATGGACTCGTCCGTCTGAACAAAGCTCGTCGCTTTCCGTGGTGCTAACGTCGCCATATGGCATTGTAATTTATAACGAATTATTGTTAGTAGCTCAGCTGATTGGAGAGTATATAGAGTTTATTGATAACATTGATGTAGTTTATATTTTAGTTTTTTATTAGTTTACTACATGGTATTCATTATATAGTGTAGTGTATACCCAGTTACTTTATGTTAATAGCTCAACTTATTGAAGAATATGTTAAGTACATTTATTATATTGATATAGTTTATACTTAGTTTTTTCACATCAGTTTATTGTATGATAGTTGGGTAGTTGCAGTCCTTTAGCGGCCATATACTAAATGCCTCTGTTGATATGTAAACTTTGACTTTAACATAGCTTTTTCCATGACCAGTCACATGCTAATCCCTCACACTAACATCATGCTAATCTCCCAGTTACATGCTAATTTCTGACTTTAACACCCTGCTGATCCAACACTTTAACACAGCTATTTCAATGCTAAATTCTCCTGTTTGATATGTAAACTCCTTTGTCAAGGCGCTCTGCTCCTCCCACCCAGCTTAAAAGACGCTGCCAATTTTAGCAGCGTTCATTGAAGCGCTGTCGTCCCGACAGTTCTGTTCCTTCACCTGAAGAAGGCTACTTGTGTTGTGGCCGAAACGTCGTGAGAATTTTATTTTATTATGTTTTAATTTTATTATTTTATTTCCATTCTACGTGACTTTACCGAAAGAACCAAGAAGATGAATGCCTGCAGTCACGAAAGCTTTAAATCGAAATTGATATGATCAGTTAGAAGTTACAAGCTACCATCAAAGTACCTATGCTCAATGCTGGCGAATTGAAGCTCGTTCACAAATGAATATAAATATAAATTTTACCAATAGTGTTAAGTCTTTGATAAGGGGATAAAGTGAAGTAATGCAAAAATAACCACAACTTTCAGTTATTCGCAACCTGAATTAAACTTGTGATTATTATGCCACTTTAATGCCTCCCTCACAGATAAACAGAATAAAAATTCGGATTAAAAGAACATCTTTCACCACGGTCTATTTGCAATGCAATTTATAACTGTCGTTCCCGCCAAATGTGTGCTCTTATCTTTAAAGAGTATAATTCCAAAGTTTATTGGCGGCTCAGATTTGAGTGCATGGCACCATGCCACACAAACGCACTTGGGGCGATATTGCGACTAACTTTTCCCCAATTTCTCCCAGATTGTGCCACCAGCGTCGCGTCACGAGACCAGGCATCCATTTGGATCACTCAGAGTGCAGTGCAACCCATGATGTCAGAGAACGGCCTTCCCACCCACCCGCACTACCACATGAGAAGTGTGTTCTTCGCAAGGCGGGCAAATTGATACATATATATTTACATTTTCAGAGGTGGACTTATACCCAAATTAAGTGGGGAACCAAATGTAACATTACGGCTTTTCTTTACGCATTTATCGATGGCTGGGGTTGAGACCATCGACTCGCTGAACTTGATGAGAGCCCCGTTCAATCAAGAGGCGCCCACCAGGATTCGAAGATAAATATGTCGGCGGTGCCAGCTCAGCCGCTGTGACCTCTCAAACGCTCGGCCACATCGCGATATTAAGGGTGATCATGCCGGTGCTCGGAAGGCCGAGGAGTGAGAGGAGCGGGCGGGCGGGCGGGCAGGTAGGTGGACTGGCGGGCAGGTAGGTGGGCTGGCGGGTTTGTGGGCGGGCAGACAGGCAGACAGGCATGGGGTGGGCACTCGCGAGCGGAAGTGCAGTCACCTCTCCCGCTACGTGGCAGCGCCCACGCGCACGACATCGGCCAGACAATGACACGGACACCACCCCAACGTGCGATTGAGTCTCACTTGCCCTTGGTTCTTTCGGTAAAGTCACGTCGAAGGGAAACAATAAAATAATAAAAATTTTACTGTTTTATATTTTTATTATTTTTTTGTTTCCCTTCTACGTGGTGACTTTACCGAAAGAACCAAGAATATGAATCCCTGCAGTCACGAAAGCTTTAAATGTGCCTCACTTGTTTAACAGTCTAGGGCCAGAGGTTGGAGCCCTGCGGCTCCGGAGCTGCTTGTGGCTCCTTTCAGGGCTGCTTCGTGACGTTATATATTGGGACGACCGTCTCGTATTCACATGCATTGCACGGCTCTTGAAAGATTGAGTTTTTTTATACCAAATTCGAAAAAAATGTCCCTTGTTATTTTGATTGCCAGGCCTTGGCCTAGGCGTACGGGAATACATAGGAAATGCAAACATTTTTTTGCGAATGTGGAACGTCCACTGCTGGGTAGCACGGCTCAATAGTACATGTACCCCGCACAAAACGAAAAGAAAAGGCTGGCTGAAATGACACTGCGGTAAGCACAAGTCTGGTGTGAGCGCGACCGTGCGTAACACAGTACCGTGGTAAAATACGTTAGCCTAGGGTGCCCCCTCCTGTTGGCGTCTTGAACCTGAGAAAATAGTCACGAGGCTACAACTCTGGTACTGTATGCGTCAGCTGTACAAATCTGCGGGTCCGCGTCACACTGGAATGCTATTCTGTACTTGCCACAGCCTCACGTCTCAATTAAAATGAGAGCAGTGGATTGTCGTCGTTATTGGGGGGAGTTGGCACGTGCGTGCATTAATGGGCGCTCTGCCTGCTTTTGTAATTGGATAACGCGTCCTTTCTGCTGTCAGAGGGACCGCTAACTCTAGGCATGGGCTGTCAAGGCAGATTTTTGTTGTTGCCGAGTATAGGTCCAAAATTAACAGTGAACGCAGCTGTCTCACCCATTACTGAGGTCATTTTGCTTAGTTCACAGTTTTGAAATCGCATCAGTACTCCCGTCACCAGACTTTTTATTCCGTTATTACTCATGCAGATTATGTAGGGATTGTGTTTGGAATTTAAAGCTGTTGTGTTTTTTTTTGTCAGCCACTGCTAACGTTTAATCAAAGGCTGTCGGGATTCTTGCCGGTCGTGTACGAATGGTCCCTTTTCTCACTTGGAGCTGAGGCTCGTTGACAGCTCAGCGCAGTGTGGAAAGAGCAGTAATCACACATTCCAGTGTAGTGTAAACACTGGCCATCGAGTCAATCATTCGCTTGCTGCAGCCTGTGATGACCTCTTGACCTCGACCAATGATGTTGACATTGGCCGAGTTTGTGTGAGGTTATGCAATGGTCACGTGGGACCCAGGTGTCCTTTTAAGAGCCAAAAGTATGTTGCAAGCAACGCATTGCTTCGTGGAAATCTAAAAGCAACCCTTAGTTTTAGAAAGCCTGGTATTGCAGCAATGTTTGTAGGCTGTGTACTGTATTTCAAATTGTACAGTAACCCGAGTTGACAATATTGATACATTTAGTCCAAGTGATATTGAAAGATTCTAGGTCGATGTCGGTATTGATATCACAGATGCCTTGCGAAATGAAAGATTAACGAAATTTGGCCGAAGGAATGTGTACGGCACAACTAAAACGTTAATTGTTTTCCCACTCTTAGAATTAAAAAAAATGAATCCAACTTTTTTTTTACTCGCCTTTGCGTATATATCCTGAATGGGCAACCTTTTTTTAAATGTAATGCTTCAACCACATCCATGAAGATGGACACTTGCACGGTTGCACAATGAACGTGGATATATACACGGTAGATCATTGCTTGTTGACATAAAGCACCGTGTTTAAAAAAGTGAATGTGGTCATGTTCATTCACTTGAATGTCACAATGGTGTGCGGAACACAATGTACGTTTCGAATCTGGCCCTAAACCTGTCAGTGGTTGTAATCGCAACGGTATATAATGAACAAACGAGACGTCTATTTTCAATGCATAATGATTGTATAAAAAATCGGACTTCCAGTCTGTTCATTGTCACCACATTCATTACTCATAACCCTCCACCACACCGCACAATGAGCTTTATCCAATTGTGACAGTTTTTTGTTGGTTTTATATTTCTCACGTCCTAGTTTTGTTTCCCGTAACATTTTTGCTGCTTTTTTTCTAATATAATTTTGATTCATTTTGGTTAATGATTTGGTTTGTAATCCCCCTCCCCCACCCTCCTCCCCGGTACGTCTGGTGCGGTGTGGGTCGTGCGCGTGCCCAACCGGCAACATGGCTTTGACGCTCTGCCACGCCTGCCCGCCCGCCCGCCCGCCTGCCCGCCCGCCCGCCTGCCCGCCCGCCTGCCCGCCTACCGCCCCCTCCGGCCGCCACAACACCACGCGCACGGCCCCACTACTCGCCCCGTACCTCTCCCGCCCGCCCATCACTCCCACCCTGTCCCCTTCACCCATTTGCCTTCCCTCGCGCCTTCAACCCCCCCAAAGTCCCCATGATTCCTGGCCCCGCGGGAAGCCCAGTGTCAGCCACGGCTTCGCCCAACAGCAGCCTACCCTTCGTCACATCCTCCAGCGCTAACCAGGTTTGCGTCCCGGTTTTTTCCACGCCCGCCCGGCTACTTCTGTCTGTGCGTCTCGGGGAGGGGTAAGGATTTGGGGGTTTTACCTGTCCTGTACCTGTCACTCCTTCAGGGAAGCACGTGGGCAGTGTTGTGGTGTGTTCCAGACTTTGACGTGCAGGGTGGTGCGGCAAGGATGCTCAGCTGAGTGGATGCACCCCATTGTAACGCACTCGGACGTCCGTCGGCGGTCCACGTAACCCGAGCGTAGGAGTACCGGGGCGGGTTTCGAGATTTTGACGTGGGTTTGAGATATCCACCAAATTATTTCTTGTACATAAACATGTACGAAAGTACAAGATTACTATTTTGGTGCTTTTGTAAGTTTAGCACCGGTGCGCAAATGCATATTTTAAATTAAAAACGTCGATGACTCTTATCAGATAATTAAGCCCGTGGCCAAAGTAAAAGCGGCTGGGAATCCTCCCCCCCCCCTTACTACACACATTGGCATGGTCCACAGTGCACTGCTACACGAGGGTAAGGTTGGACATATCCACTTCATGCAAAGGGTAAGGCACCTGCATTTCATCCTCCATGGCTGTGGGTCATCACTCCCGCAAAAAAATGGAACCACTCCAGAGTTAACGTTTTTTTTACCTCTGCTCATCTCTAAAAACCGGCCTGATGTGTGTTACTTGCGCGCACATGGCAAGTATCTGCTACTGATAGCAGAGAGAGTTCCATTTGTTTGTGGGTTGTGGGTAAGGTTGCAACACCCCCTCTCTCGACATTTGCTGCACTTTCCCCAATGAATTGTCTTCTCCTCCTGCTGCCCCCTCGTTGCTCCGGCTTGGCTCGCTCGATTGGCCTCCTTTTCTTCCAGGCGGCTCTTGAAGGGACGCTGCTGAATTCTGTCGCGCATCCGCTCGCGCCCGCATCCTGACAATCGTATTTGCGCCCACGTGCTCCGCCGGTGTGTCAGCCTTTTCAGCAAAGGGGGCAGACGTTAATCGACGCTGGCGTTGTGGCTGAACACGCAATGCACTTTGGCCGGCTTAAAGCTTCCCCGTGGGAGGATTTTTTTTTTATATTTGGTCAAATTGCAAACGAAATAAATTAATCAGTTTCCCTGTTAGAGATTTGCAGCAAAATTCCGTTTGCATATTTTTGCCCGACCTGCCTTATATGTTCACGGTTGTCTGTGTGTGCAGCTGTTTTAAAATGCTCTTCCTGGCTGTGGGAAAGATATTTTGCAGGTTTGAAAATAGGCATTATGCTTGAAGTGGAGCCAACGATATGTGACACGTGTCAAGGATAAATGTTAGTGTGTTTTGTTGGTAAACAGCTGTAAAAGTTTTAAATTAGTTTGAAATCGTTGCCAATACGAAGCATATATATGGTGTTGTATGAACAGTTGTATGGCCTATGGTTACTTGCATTTAGAATACAATTTGCATTAATATGTAATCGTAAATTATTAATGGTTGTGCAAAATCCAATTCAGAGGAGGGGTAATCACATTTCTTTGGATATTTTCCAGATGCTTGAAGCCTTGCTTCGAATGTTGGATATAAGTGTATATTTTAGTTTTGCTTTATTTTGCATTGCTACGGGAAGAGTCCTTAGATTCGTGCGGTGTGCTCCACATTTTCATTGCTCAGTGCGAGCTTATTTATTCAGCCTCTTAGATTTACGAGCCCAAGACCTGTTAAACGTTGCAATTCTTTACGTACTATTTTAAACAATTTATCTGATTTGTTATATATATGTGTGTGTGTGTGTTTAAACTGCCTTAGACGTCACCATCAAATGAACGCAGAAGTAGCGGTAGGAATGAGCACCGGCGATTTTGACTTGGCGAGGGAAGCGATGTGGATTTTGACTTGGCGAGGGTAGCCTCCCGACAGGACGGACTTGGTCGCGCCGTGGAAATCCGCGATGCGGTTTTGCCTCTCCCGGCCAGTCACCGGGCCAGTTGGAAACCGAGGAAGTGCCAAGTCTCGTTCCCCAGCTCTTACTGTAGATCATCAGTTGCTGCACCATCATTGCCCAACTCTTATTGTAGATCATCAGCAGCACCATCCTCATTCCCCAACTCTTCCCTTGGCTCATCAGTTGCACCAGCGTCATTCCCCAACTCTTACTGTCGCTCATCAGCAGCACCATTCTCATTCCCCAACTCTTACTGTAGATCATCAGCAGCACCATCCTCATTCCCCAGCTCTTACTGTAGCTTATCAACAGCACCATCCTCATTCGCCAACTCTTACTGTCGCTCAATAGCACCATCCTCATTCCCCAGCTCTTACTGTAGCTCATCAGCAGCACCATCCTCATTCCCCAACTCTTACTGTAGATCATCAGCAGCACCATCCTCATTCCTCAACTCTTACTGTCGATCATCAGCAGCACCATCATTACCCAGCTCTTACTGTAGCTCATCAGCCGCACGAGCGTCATTCCCTGGCTCTTACCGTAGATCATCCGTTGCACCATCCTCATTCCCCGGCTCTTACCGAAGCTCATCGGTTGAACTAGCCTCCTTACCCGGCTCTTATCGTACCTCGGGTTTCTTATGGGGAATGTGGCAGCTGAGCACGTCAGGCTTTGAGCTGGTTTAAATGTCTTCCAGGGGAACTTATTTCTATTCTGCTGAAGCTTTTTTAGTTACCTACTCCCCCAACTTTATCCCGATTGTGCTGTTGGCGTTGCGTCACGAAAATGAAGAATCCATTTGGCAATCTCGCAGCGAAGTGAAACCTTCCCATGTCGGAGAATGGCTCACGAAAGAGCTTCCTCTGAAATCCCTTAAAGTTAATTGTTCTCCAAAGTAGAACGCAGCAGTAGATATATCACGGATAATGCCGAGTATGAGATGAGGGCTTTGTAATTCGTGAATTCTGAGAGTAATTACATCTCTTACCGATCATAGGACCTGGTTTGGTCGCAGGTATTGTTTGTGCAACAGTTGTTCGTAAAGACGTTTGTACTCGGCGCAGAGAATGGCCGCACCTCTGATAGCTGATGCCAAACTGTGCCACGCCCTCCCGCATGGCCTTTTACGTCATCGGAATGGAATTGGAAGAGAAACGGATGACGTTATACATACGTCTTCGGAAAGGGTTAAGACCAGTCGGAAAATCCACCCTTGGTGTCTCCTTCCATATGGTTGCTAGAAACTTTATAATCCTTCTTAAGCTCTCTTTTCTTTCACCCCCTCCTGTTTTATTCAAATTGTGCGATATCGTGTAATCACACCATGAGAGAGCAAAGTGTATTCGGAACGCTTGCAGAGTAGTGTATCAGCCTGTATTGCGGACAACATATAACTTCTCCTGTGAGTTACATTGCAGTGAAACCAATAATTTTAGTTAGCCGAAATTGTCTCCAGCCAAAGTAAGTGGAAAATCCAATTTTACATGTTTTTTTTAAGAGTCATTGGTGACCAGGCAGAAAACCATCGGCTCACTAAACTTCAGAGTCCAGTTTCATCATGGGCAGCTGAAAACCCAGACTCAAATGAAGGACTTCAGCTCTTCGACCGCTGAGTCACGCGGACACCTCGTAAACTTTTATTATCAGCGTCCTTTCTGTCGACTTTTGCGTGTAACTGTAGAGGCCATGGCACCCGAGAGGGTTCCCACTGCCTTCACGTGGGTCATCTGTGCGGATTGGGGCTTGTCGTCTGAATGGAATCTCACCTGGTGAAACAGCCAGTTGTGTGCCATCTGCGACTATTTGATGGAGCGAGTAGTGTGGGTTCCTCGCCGTCAAGTTAACTTCGGTTTCAGAAGCAAAAAGTCAAAAGTGTGGTGGTCACATGGGCTGCAAAGGTCATTTGCATTGGTCACTTGTGGACCTGCCTGGGGTCTTGGAAAATAATTGCGCGTGTCGATGCTGCTGGTAAGCGTACCGATTGGCTCGAATTGCACCGGCCTTCCCCCCCCCCGCCCCCCCCCCCCCCGTGCGTGCAATTGCAGCGTGAACCGCATCGGCGCGTGATGATGTTAGCGTTTACTCGCACAAACACGTGCAATGATTATAATTATCATGGCTTCACAAATAACACTTTTGCGGTTATTGTCTCGGTCTAATGAACGCCTTAATAACCACTGCCTTAAAAAAAAAATGTTTGCGTCATTTACCCAGTAATTAGGCAAAGGGGAGAAGTGAAGGCAGAACATGACTTAAATGATCATCGCCCGCAGAATGCGCCAAGGGAGCCACTCGCTGCAACGGTAGCAGCCAGCGGACTTACATTTTAATGAAGCTATCCGTCCATATGCCTCTTAATTGGCAGGCCCCTTCACGGCAGCGCTTCCGCAGATTTCAGTTGTCCCTGCTTGGTTAACGGCTCATCATTGCGCGCGCGTGTTCGCTGTCTTCTTGCCCCCCCCCCCCGCCCCACCCCCACCCCCTGACTGACCCCTCTTGGCACCTGCCTGTTCCCTGCTCACTGTGCTCACCCCCTCCTCTCTCCTTCCCCCCTAGTCAGCGGACACCCTAACCATCTGTCGTGACTTCAAATCGGGCCACTGCACTCGGCCAAACTGTCGCTTTCTCCATCTTCTGGAAGGTAGGGGCCTCTCATGCCTGGCTTGGCCTCTGCTTGCCCTGGCTTCTCCCTCCGTCTCGTGTGGCACGCTTTGTGTCGTCGCCGCCGCCGCCGCCGCTGCCGCCGCTGCTGCTGCTGCAGGATTCTTTTTGCTTGGTTTTGTTTGATCATCTTTGTTTGTTTTCTGTGGTTCATTCTTTGGGGAGGGTTTGCGAATTGCCATGACTTTTGTGCGTAGGGGGATCAATGCGGAGCTGTTAGGTGAAACGATAATTACCCGAGGTGCGTTGGAGCCTAGAACGAAACGTTCTTTAAAATGAAACCCCTCAGCAGCTCACTCCTGATTGGCACGGGTGATGCAATAAATATCGATGTTCATTGCCGGGCATATATTTCGTCACTACATTAATGTGTTTTCTTACTCTATGCTTCCCCAGGAAAGCTTTTGTTCATAGGGATCAGCTAAGATTTCACATTAGGGGGGGGGCGATGTTTACCATGCATGTCCATGTTCAGTAATTTACGGGTAATTTGTTAAATTTGGCAACATTTTAGGTGCCATACCCCCCCTCCCGGCACACGCTGGACCCACGCTTCTTCGAGTGACGGGGGAATCTCTTTAACGTGCACCGTGAAGCGAAGTGCACCGTGATATTTTGGTCGATACGCCGGCAGTATTAACCAGGGCGCGTGCTGTTGCATTCGAACCCCTGCGACAAAACGACAAACCGCTGGGGTCGTGTCAACACCGCCTCCGCATTCCGACACGGGCTGCACGGTGAAAACTCCCAAGCGCTTGGCCTCGCATCTTTATCTTGCATCGGTAATAATTCGTATTGGGATATGCTATCCGGCTTTTGGAATGTGTTTGAAAGCCAAGGCATGGTTTCTGGTTTGGGTCTCGCAGAGGTTGCACAAGTATGTGTGAATTTGCGGTACGGTAATGCAAATCATGCTTTAGTGGCAGGCGTTCCTTTTGCCCGAAAAATAAGAAATTTTGGTTGAAAAATTTGCTCGTAAATGGCAGTATATTTGAAATGAACAAGAGCCTTACTTGGGCTACGTAACTTTATCTGGCAAATTTGAAATGTTGGATATTTAAAGTAAGAACATTCCTGAGGAGTTGCAAGAAAGATTTGGTTGGACTGGCACCAAAAGCCACACAGTGACATGTTAAATCGGTATGCTAATGACTTTTCTATTTGTCTACGTCAAAGCCACCGTTCACAGGAATCTTCATATTCATTCCATTTATTTTTATGTTATTACTGTGGCCTAACCATGAAGTATTAAACCATTTGGCTCTGTTTGATTTTACACTAATTTTAGTGTTCTCTCTGATAAAATTATTGCATTTCATGTTTACATATTTTGAACACTCCCCCCCCACCCCCTCCGTCTTTTCTGTGCATATAATTTTGACATGGGCAGTCACTTCCAGGAATGGGTTTGTTATGCAACGGATTAATTTACGTAATTCATTTAACCATGGCCAATAAAATGCTGCGCAAACGTAAAGTGGGATTATTCCGGACACGATTTAATATTTAAAAAATAACCACCTGCAAGGATCTCAAGAGGCTGTATGCCGACACTGCACCAATAGAACGTAAGTGTTTAAATATTGGATGAAAAGTTTTAGAGGAATAGCTTCGGCATGTTAGTTTCATGATTTCCTCTCCCCACCTTTCCCGTGGATTGTGGATTCCACAAACCTAAAATGGCCCGTGCATATCGAATACATTGTGTTTGATAAGGAGGCATTAATCCCATGTGAAAGATGTATATTGCGTTTGCAACAGCTTCGTCGAATATTTCTCTTCCAGCTTCGCTGCGTTTATGGCCGCAATCATATTCTCTGTGTTGTTGCTATTCTCTGCTCTCCCGAGTTGTCAAACCCCGGCACCTTCAAGATTTATGGGAAAAAATTATTGAGTTGTAGTTTTATTTGCGTCTGCAGCGTTGAGAATGCCCACAGCAGCACCAAAGAGGAGATTATGCCCATCGAAGGCAGTGAAATGCTCGCGTAGGTTTAACTCGGCCGCAAATTAATACCCATTTGTTTGGTATTCCTCCGAGACAGCGGAAAAGCAGATCTGCCAACCGAATGATTAAATTCACCAGAGTTGGTGAACGCTAGGACAACTTCCGTGTGGTGCCTTCATCAGAACATCCATTGTACGGGGCCGGAGTGGGCCTGCTTGCAAGCAAATCACGCTTGCCAGGAAACCATCGGCGCATCAGCCTGGAAGGATAATTTTTTTAAATTCTTTTATCGAAATTTTATGGCCCGAAATGTCACATCTCACCACCGCGGTGGCCCGGTTCTGTGCGCGACTTGCAGATTACGAACCGGTCATAGAGCGTGCAGCAGAGATGGTTGGGGGCTGAGCTTAGCGTAGAGGGCAGCCCCACTGGTAGCGGGGTTGAGCAGCATGCCATTAAAACGCCGTTGAGAGAGGGAACAACTGTGGGAAAGGAAAAGCGAGCGCTTCTTCAGACGTGATCTCGTATCATGTCCCAAATTGGAAATAAGTGCCGCAGAGTGCCTAAAAAGGCTAACAAACAACTTGAATAAAACCTCAGAAGCAAGCAAAGCCAAAAGCTGAAGCTGTTAAGTCGGTGGTGTCCCCGACTCCCTTGTTCTCATCCCCTGGGCTTATTTTACTCGCGGAACAATTGCAAGAACCAGCGAACTTTCTGTAGCGCGCTGCCTCGCATGCCACATTCGTTTTGTCCGTTTTTCTTTCTCCTCTGTGCGTGTCTCTGTATGCCATCATTTTTGCTGCTGCCATGCCATGTAATGTTTTCAGTTCGTCTTGCGCTACTTCAAAAAGTATCACGGGTTTTTTTCTTTGCTCTGCATCTGGAAAAGAAGCAAAAAAAAACCCCTAATCAAAGCAGAAGCCCCCTTTTTTTAGAACAGTAGACGGCCACGTTGAAGCGTTTGAATTGAGATTTTCGTGAAATGAGATGTTGTAGCAAATGTGTGCGGTCTTTCAAAATTGGGGTGACTGCTGCGAAGACGTTTAATTGAATATCCTCTGCTTGTCGTCTCTTTGGTTAAATTGGTTCACGATTCGCACGATGGTGAACTGTGGTAATTGCCTCCAACTTCACTTGAACCACGCTTCCTTTATTTGTCATGAGAGACCTCAAGCCAATTTCTGTCATCCAACTTTCAACAGTATAATCCTTCCGTCTGCAAGGATGGTGGACCAATACATCGTGAGGAGCGTGGCTAGCAGTGCACGGTGTAATATTTGCATTGTCAGAATTACCCTCGTGTTGAAAGACCCGGTAAAACTGTGTTGTGCGTTTGGTCAGTCGGGAGGTGTCACCGCCATGGCAATGTGCATGCAGGGCATCTTTCAGTGGCAGTAACCGAAGAGATATGACCACGACAGACCGTGTCATGCTATGTAAGTCAAGCCAAGGTTTATTTTATTTATCCGCAAAACCCTGCCGCAACGTGGCCACCGCTTTGCTGCGTGTTTGTATCGCCAGTCTTTTATTTTTTATCAGGCGGCAGGATTTCGCTAATTACATTTTAGCAGTGAGGATTGTTGTGGCTCTTTCAAGCCCTGCCCCTGTGGTTGCCAAACCCATCCGACTCACCGAGACCCTTAATGAAATTGGCAGCACCGTGGTGTGTCAGCAGAAGTGCCCATAGGCTGACTCTCACGGTCACTGTTAAGGAGACCAGTGGCACTGACCGATGCCACCTTTCCACAGCCGGATGGGGAACTGTTCTGGCCCGGTGCTCGTACCTTTGTTACCATTGAGCCCACGTTCCCACACTGTATTGGGACGTCTTAAAAACCAAACAATGTTTGGTCTATTGTCTGAGTAACCTCAGCCGTCCTGGGGGGTTGATCTCAGCCATCCTGGGGGGGTGATCTCAGCCCTCCCAGGGGGTGATCTCAGTCCTACCGGTGAGTGATCTCAGTCCTACCGGTGGGTGATCTCAGCCCTCCTGGGGTGATCTCAGCCCTCCTGGGGGTTGATCTCAGCCATCCTGGGGGGTTGATCTTAGCCCTCCTGGGGTGATCTTAGCCCTCCTGAGGGTTGATTTCAGCCCTCCTAGGGTGATCTCAGCCCTCCTGGGGTGATCTCAGCCCTCCTGGGGGGTTGATCTCAGCCCTCCCGGGGGGTGATCTCAGCCCTCCTGGGGGGTTGATCTTAGCCCTCCTGGGGTAATCTCAGCCCTCCTAGGGTGATCTTAGCCCTCCTGGGGGTTGATCTCAGTCCTCCTAGGGTGATCTCAGCCCTCCTGGGGTGATCTCAGCCCTCCCGGGGGGTTGATCTTAGCCCTCCTGGGGTAATCTCAGCCCTCCCGGCGGTGATCTCAGTCCTACCGGTGTGTGATCTCAGTCCTCCTGGGGTGATCTCAGCCCTCCTGGGGGTTGATCTCAGCCCTCCTGGGGGTTGATCTCAGTCCTCCCGGGTGATCTCAGTCCTCCCGGGTGATCTCAGCCCTCCTGGGGGGTTGATCTCAACCCTCCCGGGGGGTGATCTCAGCCCTCCTGGGGGTTGATCTCAGTCCTACCGGTGAGTGATCTCAGTCCTACCGGTGAGTGATCTCAGTCCTACCGGTGGGTGATCTCAGCCCTCCCAGGGGGTGATCTCAGCCCTCCTGGGGGGTTGATCTCAGCCCTCTCGGGGGGTGATCTCAGCCCTCCTGGGGGTTGATCTCAGCCCTCTCGGTGTGGTCTCAGCCCTCCCCGGGGTGATTTCGGCCCTCCCAGGATGATCTCACTCCCAATTCAGCTTGGCATCCTGACTCGCAGGCACAGCTTAGCAATAACTGTAAATATAACAGGGTGGGGGCAGATGCCATACACGTGTTTTGTAACACTGCGTTTGTCCTCGTAAGTATTTCACGAACCATGGTGACCGTTACTTTTCACGCTGCA